GCCAATCGATACCTGTTTCCTTTAGGATCTGCATTAATTTGGTCCAATTTACATGGTCAAATGCCCTCTGCCGGTCTACAAAGCAAGCACACAGTTCTTCATCTATCTCCAAAGTTCGTTCTGCTATAATTCTCATCATCCCAATTGCATCCCTGGTTCCTTTTCCTCTTCTAAATCCAAACTGATCCTCTCCAAGTATATCCTCTATTTTCCTTTCAATTCTTCTTTTAAGTATCTTTGCTGCATGTGCCATAAGGCTTACTGTGTGATGGTCGCTGCATTTTGTAGCTTTTGTCTTTTTCTTTAAGGCAATCATTGTCACTTCTGTAAAGTCCTTGGGCCACTCCCCAGTTTCATATATGGTGTTTATTAGTTTTGTCAGTATTTTCAAACCATCTTCTCCCAGTAACTTAAGCACATCTCCAGGTACATCATCATCTGCTGAAATCTTTCCATTCCTCATGTCCTTGATGGCTTTTTCCACCTCACTTTGTAAAATATATGGTCCTTTCTCGTCTGTATCTACTTCTTCTTCCGGTTCCACTTCCAAGGTTTCTGGCCTATTAGGTCGATCATATAGTTCAGTAATATAATTTTCCCAAAGTTTCAGCGCTTGCCTCTGATCTACTATTCTATTCCCCTGGGAGTCTTCGATGCCAATATTTTGAATCCCATGGTTCTCTTTCCATCCTAGTTCTTTTGTCTTCATGTACATCAAATCATAACGTCCTGTCCTTTGAAATTCTATAATCTCATTACATATCTTCTCAAGATGTTCCTTTTTGGCCCTGTCCATGGCTCTTTTCAATTCATTCCACAGTCTCCTGCATTTCCTCCTGCCTTCTTCATTGTTTACATTCTTCCAGTGGGTCTAGGTCTACCTCCATGAACTTCTCCGTTCACTTCGGTTTTTCTAGATCTTACACATTCGGTAGGACTCCTTGGGTGGGTGATCAGCTCGTCGCAAGGCCTCTACCTGTACACAAACACAGAAAAACGCACACACACAAACTAAACATCCATGCCCTGAGTGGGATTCGAACCCATGATCCCGGTTTCCAAGCGAGCAAAGACAGTACATGCCTTAGACCGCTTGGCTAGCGTGACCAGCAGAATAGTGTGTAGGGTTTATAAATTGTGTAAGAGTGAATAGAATAGTGTGTAGGGTATATAAATTGTGTAAACCCGCAACAGTGTTATAATTAATTGTAACTATGACTTGTAGGTTGTTAAATAAACCATTAACAATTACAACAGCGTCTTCAGTGGCAAAACACGTTACAATATTTAAATAGATAAAGGCTACATACATCCTATATATAAAGAACTGTCATATATCAGAGTCCACATATTCCATGCAGAAATAAGTACAAACCTGCATAACTCTGTTGGTCCTTCTGTGCTTGCTGCAAGAGATATTTAATGGGTAATTCTGACAAAAATTCTGTTGAGTAACTCTTCACTTTTCGACCTGAATATACATAACCGTGAGTGTTAGACAGTCTCACATCTTCATATAGCAGCAGATAATATAACAGGAGGAGCTGTGATGTGAGAGATGGTGTAGATACAACTGCCTGTAACTCCTCGGTATCTGCAATAACACAAACGCCATTAACCTTTAATCCTCTGGTACATCAGGGCATGCAGTAGCATAGTTGGTTGAGACACTATGCTACAGGCCAGACTGTCACAGGTTCAATTCCTGATGAATTCCTGAAGATGAGGTCATTGGATTTTTTTCAATTGATCTAATCCTTTCAGCTGCACTATGGCCCTGGGGTTGACTCAGCCTCTATCACATATGAGTGAGTACAAGGAATCTTCCTGGGGGTAAAGTGTGGCCAGTGCATAAGGCTGACAACCTCACCACCATCTGTGAGCCAACTGTCTTGAAAATGTGGAAGCCTCGACATCTCACAACCCTATGAGCTTCTACAGCCTGGTACAGGGATAGCTTTACTTTTTACCCTTGGTACATCAAATGCAGTCTATTAACATGTCTAATATAGCAAACATAATCAGTTAAATGGAACTTATGTCCATTGGTGCTGCAGAAAAAATGTCAAAATTAAATGGTGCATCAAATGATTATCATTACTGAATCTAATCAACACTGTCCATATCATCCTATTCTTCTTAGAGGAACTTTAATATTATCCTCATATCTACACCTCTTTTTCCTTCAGATTTTGCACTAAAATTCTGTACACATTTCTCATCTCTCTTAAGTATACTGCTCAACTTGTCTCAAACTAACCTTGGCTATCCATTGCATATGGATTTTCTTCCAATTCCTATGTACTGTATGACATGCCTTTGAAGAAGTTTTAAAAACACATTACCCGTATCTCTGTCTTCTGAAGACATCACAGCCACAGCTGGACTTGGACACTGCTTCTTGCCATCAAACTGGGCACCAAAGACCGAATTTTGGAACACGCGTCGAATCTCATCCTCACCCATTGGGCGATTTATGTGCTCTTGAGGAGCTTTTTGACTAGGGACCAAGACAGAGTTGACATACACCTCTACAAGGGCTGGTAGTACTGGATGCAGAGGGGGAACACTGCTACAGATCTGCCTGCATTAGTAACAGAAACTTCTTTAAGAACTCAGCTTGTTAAACAGTTTGTCAGAATACTAGGCCCAATCTCTAATACAGAAAACAAGTATTTATACATAAGCAAATTCTTGCCAAGTAATACATATTCAACTACTCAATCACATTCATTATTATGGCTTCACTATTCAGACTTTCTTTACTAATTTTCTTGATGCAGTGGTGAGAAAAACTTGGTGTATGTTGTGTGTTTTATTTGTGCCTGGCTTAAGCTCAATCTTAATGCAGTTTGTACATATCAACTACTGACACTATAGAACATCAAGTCACTTACAATTGGATAATGGATTTAAGAATGACTTTTGGGATTAATGACAGGGGAAGTGTGTACTCTTGTTAGGCATTTGTCTGAAGAGACCAAGGAAAATCACAGAATACCTCGTTCAAGAAAGCCATGCCTTGCCCAGAATTCAAACCAGGTACCTTTCAAACACAAGTAAGACACTTCAGCCTAAAGTTCAATGAGACACATGACTGTGCACGTATGAAAATCTCTACAAACTAGAACATATCAAGTGTACTAAATATGGCATATCCCTATTCCAGGTGAGCATACATCATTGTTCAAAAATACGAAAAAGTGATAATAAAATACAACACAGATAACCAATTAAGTTCAAGGAAAGTGAAATCAAATTACCTATATATCCAGTCCTTGATGGGAACTCTATGTTTAGTGAAGGCACGACTTTTCAGTAACTGGTGAATACAATGGACAGGCAAGAAGCCTGGAATGTTGGCATTAAGATTCGCTGTGACTGGAACCTTGACTGCATGTGAGGTCACAACTTGCTCTGTGAAAATTTCCTGTGTGAAAATTTGCTTCATTCTTGTCATGTTGTTTGGTCGAATGGGAACCTGTTTAAAGAGATCAAAAGTTTGCTAATGTTATTGTAGATAAATTCCAAAATATGCAAGAAAATAGGATTATGCATTGCATTAGGCATACAAGGTGTGGCAATAAAGAAACCGGATTCATGCTCTAACCCTTTATTAAAAAAAATCAGACAGTCGAAATGTTATCCCCTTCAATGTAGTCCCCTCCCCGATCCCTACACCGCTCCATGCGAATTTTCCACTGTTGGAAGCAGTGCTGCAGGTCATCTTGTGTTATGCTCTTCAAGAGTTGCGTCGCTTTTGCTTTCACTGCATCCACGGACTCGAACCTGGTCCCTTTCAGCGCAGACTTGATTTTTGGGAAGAGAAAAAAGTCGCACGGTGCTAGGTCCGGAGAATACGGTGGATGTTCCATCACTGGAATGTTGTTTTTTGCCAAATACCTCTTCACAGATAGCGCGTTGTGTGCTGGCGCGTTGTCGTGATGAAGAACCCATGAGGCATTCTTCCACATGTCTGGTCTCCTTCGTCGCACACGTTCACGGAGGTACGTCAAAACATTTTTATAATAAACCTGATTGACAGTCTGACCTTCAGGCACCCAATCAATGTAGATTACCCCCCGGATATCGAAAAAAACAATCATCATTGCTTTGAATTTGGACTTGCTCATGCGCGCTTTCTTCTTCCTAGGGGATTTGGGGCTCTTCCAATGCATGGATTGTCGCTTAGTCTCTGGATCATATTGAAGAATCCAAGTTTCGTCACACGTAATTACGTTTTGGAAGAAATCAGGATCATTTTCAATGTTTTCAAGAGTGTCAACACAGCAATTCACTCGATGTTCCTTTTGCTGGGGGGTAAGGATTTTTGGCACCACTTTAGCACACACCTTTTTCATGCCCAGATCGTCGTGCAAAATCTGTCTAACACTTTCCTTATTGATGTTCGTAAGTTCAGAAATTGCTCGAATGCTCAGTCGACGATCTCTTCGAACAATTCTAGCGACCTTCTCCACATTCTCTGGAGTTTTCGCAGTGGGAGGACGGCCCGATTTTGGATCGTTCCCGACGTTTTTCCTACCCTCCATAAACTTCTTAAACCACTCGAAAACTTGCGTGCGAGATAGACACTGATCACCATATACTTCTGTCAACAAATTGTAAGTTTCAGTGGCAGATTTTCCAAGTTTTGTGAGGAATTTGATGTTAGCACGTTGTTCTGCATTAGCACTCAGCATTATTCCGACGGAGCTCAGAAACACGATCCCGCTTCTAACAATGGTCGCGGCCAGACTAACCGATGCACGTGAATGAAACTTTGTGTGACGGTAGAGGGAAGTCCAAGGGTCAATGCCCTATCCTCCTCTTCGTCAATGACGTGGCCGGAAATGAGTCATAAAAGTAATCCGGGTTCTTTATTGCCACACCTTGTATGACACACTTTACAGAACCTACAAAATTAAGTTCACTGCTTATCTGCTCTTGATCACTTTCAATAATAATAAAACCCTCATAGTAATTTTGCAAGGTATCTTCCAAACAGATGAAACACATAAGCTGTATCTTTTATCTGTACCTTTAATATCTAATGAAAAATCACAGGAATAAGTACTCTGTGGCTAGATGCGTGTTATACAGACTAGGAAATGTATACCACATTGTAGCAATTCTGGCACATTTGCTCTGTTATTTCCTCCAAATGGTACCCTGTATTTAATGATCTCAAGATCTATAGGAGTTGCAGGAAAAATATACTGTGTGTTTTTATTTTAAAACCATCTTGATGCATCTAAATTAACCAGAATGGCTTCTTTTATATACATGTGTTCGAATGATCTTTATCAAATTACACCTTAATTGCAAACAAACTGCAACAAATTACATACAACTTGCAAGATACACAAAACTGCAACCTGCAAAAATTATGGCAAACCTAAACATAGTATACAAACAGTACTTACCTTCATTCCCAGAGTAGAGCACACCAGTTCACAGATTGCACTAAGTTGGTTGCTATGGAAGTGAATTGCCATCAACAACAACATCTCACCAAATGATGCAGTCACACCACTTGCACTATAACAAAATACACATCCACAAGTTACAATACATAACTGGCAAATCAGATTTAAATACTGCATAGAAACTTCAAAGCTTCCATAGCAATATAATTAAGTTAACATATTGGCTATATTAAACTTCGCAAAACAAGGTTACGTCGCCGCCAGCGGTGACGTAACAACATTGGGCGCTGTCACTACTATGGTAATGGGCCAGTCAACACTGTCCCCCTCCCCTGCGGTGATGTAGCGGGGGATGCCGCGGTTGCTATGCAGCAGTAAACAACTCCCAACAGTGTTGCCCAGCAACACCTGTGAACACAGCGACTAGGCAACAAGGAAGTGAGGCATTTTCCCAGTGTCTGGCTGAGGGTTTATAAGAGAACCACACTGCCTAAGAAGACAGTTAAAATGTAGCAGCCGCTGAAGTCAGTTAAAATGTGGCAGCCACCAAAGTTAGTTGAAATATAGCAGCTGCCGAAGACACTTAAAATGCAGCAGCCACCACCGGAGACAGTTGAATGGATTCACTGAGATACAGTTGAACAGCAACTGAGATAGTGAATTGTATAAGATTAAGATTGTATAACTGTGAATTGTATAAGTGTGGAGAACAAATGTGCAATAAATTTGCTATATCAAATAAGGCATGAAGTTACTTGTCACGTGACATATACCCAACACGTGACAATATGTTGTGCACAAAACAGTATTACAGCGAAAAAGATCTAAATCATGATCATCTGAATGTACATCCCCCCCCCCGAGTTCTGATTGCTGGATGACAATTCAAAATATTTGTAAGTGATGAAGTATGTGCCTGTGTGAGTCTAATGTTTGAATTATAGCACCTTTCAAAATAAGCTTCCTCCCTCACAAGCCATTGGACCCATTCGATGCTACGTTTCTCATGTTCCTGTTGTCCAATGAGGGAGGGGCATGCAATGAGCATACATAACCCCAAAGAAACAAAGCGAACTCCAGCAGAAGATGGTGGTGGATGTGATGTCAGCAGCTGCACAATCAGTGAAACTTCATCTTCCTGAAATCTACAGAAAAGAGAAATTGAAATGATTTTAATTACCTTAAAAATAAAATCCAAACAAAAAATATATTTGATTTGCTTCATTCTGGTCTGTCACACTAACACTATCGTGAAAAGTTAAACAGTTCCATCTAGTGTGACTGGTGAAGATTTTTTTTTATTTCAATTATTTATGGCCTTGCATGTTTTGGTCTTCAGAGACCATCATCAGAGGGACTATATTGTAATAGTAACTGATGATAATCTCTGAAGACCGAAACAAGTAAGGGCATAAGTAACTGAAACAATAAAAAATCTTCACTAGTCACATTAGACGGAAAGAATATATTTCTGTACTGGCCAATACACGTACGTTTTAAAATAAAACAGAGGTAAAAGCCTAAAAATGGAGATACTGATATGACTTTTTGTACCTCCTTATTATAGCATCAACAGTATTATTTAAATGTGATTTCTACTACAATAGGAGTTTTCAACATTTTTCACATATTTTCCAAAAAGCTGCATTGACCCACCTTCAGAATTATGTGTGCTAAATGCCCCTGCATTGCTTCTGCTTTGCTTGGAATAGTTTATCTTTCTTTATTTTTTATCTGAACAGATTTCACAAAACATGAATGTCTAATTTCCAGTAATTCTGTGACCCTATCAAGGCAACCTCACAACACATAGGTTGAATGAAGCCAAAGTATTACAAGTCATAATGTATAAGACACTGAAAAGTGTAATCTCTGTTCAATGCTACATATATGCTGATTTAGAATATTTCAAAGTCTGCACATCTTATTACATGCTTTTGTAATGTCTGTCATTGTAGCTGTTGTATGTCTAGCATATCTACTTGTGCGCATATGTGCTTACAAATACCTATATACATATGGCATTAATATTTTCTACATTAAAATGAAACCATTAAACAGTCACATCAAAGAGAAAACCATGCTGTAAAAAAATGTGTTGGCAAATCACATATAAAATTTTATTTTCAGACTGTCATGAGAACCTTTCTGTGCTGACAAGTTTCATCTGTTCTTCCTGTAAAGACATTACTTTGAAAACAAATTGTTAGAATAGTTATTCCCTTTTACTAAACAAATATGCCTTTCAGTTTGTCTACAGGACCTTACAAAGAACAATCTAACCCACTTTATGCCTGCAATGCCACGGAGTGCACAGTATAAACGCAGGAGCGCTGAAGCCTGCACAACGCAAGAATCAGGCAACTGACTGTCTAGTGAGAAGAGGATGATTGTCTGCAGGCGTCTCAGGAGTTCCTCTCTCAGTAACTGAAGAGCTGTGTGAGACTCCCACTTCCTCTGAAACATAAAAAATTGCTTCATATGATCCAGAAAAAACAGGTAGACATATTTTTACGTTCTAGCAAAATTCATTTAAGAACTGTAATGTAAAATACCATTTACTGTGTTATAAATTAGTTTCTTAGAATTAAGGTCACATACCTTTTGTCCATTTCGAACAAACATGGCAAACCAATTTCGGACCTGTTGGTCATTACCAAGCAGCAAGCCAGACACAAAGGCCACCATATCTCCCTCAGCATCTGTGCCAAGAGTGCGCCCTGCATGATCTAGGCTAAGTGTGATAGCCAATGCTGGCATACGGCAAAGTTCCACCTGTATGTAGAATTACAACTCCATTGATATTGCAATCAAATACAAGAGTCTTACACAATCATACCTGGGCCACCTATGTATGTGAACAGCAATTACAGCACTATATAGGTACTGATACATACGCATTTTGCTCGGATAGCAAGTGCCTGGACTGGGTTCATTTGACACAACATACTGAGAGCCTGCATGCGGATCCGTCCGCCCACATTGTCTTCCTCTTGCCTCTCTCCATTTGCAATCAAACTTGTACATACTGAAAGAGACACCAATAAACAGTTTAATGTAATCTGTTCATAAAATTCATTTTATATACATACATACAGATAGACACAATAAACTTGTTAACTCTTTGTAATCCCTGAATATCTCAAGTTAGGGCCTTACCAACCTTTATAATCTCTACTTGGAAAAGTGTATGAAGCCATTCCTGAAGCAGAGGTACATATGCAACAGATTCTCGACAACAATATAAGGGGGGGGGGACAAAAAACAGGTCACCAGAGGAAGTATACATTTAATCCTTTCAGTGTAGTCTCCAAAGACCACATGTATAGAAAAGATGTAATGTTTCATTTGTAGAATTTGCAAGTATTATGATAAAATGGTTTCTGCAAAGGCTACATAATTTTCGAGTATGAAAGACATGTATTTCCTGCCTCAGTTGACATAGGATTTTGCCTTTACCTTTAGAGTGCACAGTCACATGTAGCACCCTGAAGTGGCAAATAAGTCAGACATGGTGTATCAAACTAATCAATGAGGTACTGGAGCAGTTTTAGCCTACTTTCCTCCTGTAATGAAAAAAGTAAGCTTATAAGGTCTCCATGCTGTATGTGTATGCTTCTGCCTTCTTTAAACTTTCAAACCACCTACGTGACTAACTAAATTTGGTGCAAACATTGTGTCTGGAAGGCCACCCAACATCACAGTTCTTAATTTCTACAATCAATTATAATAGCATGGTGGAGGTATAAACTTGCGGAAGTAACACTAATGACTGAGATGATGTTTGGTAATAGAGCCTTGAGTAATATAGAAATTTTACAGTGATGTTTCAATAGAATGTAAGACAATATGGAGGCTGTGAGAAATGTCATTTAGGTTTTGGCTGACAGCTTCTAACTAATGAACAACCACTGGCACGCACAGTGCTTATGTTTATAAATATGAGTATACAACACACTATTCTCCACAGAGTACTGGCACATAAAAAATAACATAGTTAATAATACACACACATATCTCATCTCTGGTACATTAAGCATGTACTTATTATCAGAGTCAAGTCACAAATTCTTGTGTAGATATGAATGTTAGAGTGTATCATTTACAGACTTTAAACACTGGCTAATTACAGGAGCACTTCAAAATGGAGCACTGCTTTTAATTCTGAACTGTTAGCACCGCAAAAGTTATTGTTACCTCCATTCATGTTGTCTGTGAGAAGAGCCCATTTTCTCTTTGTTCAGTATCAAAAAGAATGTTTAAGTTGAACCATGGTGCCTAAAAGTTTCAGTCTTACTAGCATTTGTTGTCTTTACATGCCATTATGATTTAAGATTTCATAGCAAATTTCAAAATACTCCATTTTCTCCATAGTACCTCAGGTTCATAAAAACTGACCACCTATACACAGTATGTATGCTGTGCAGCAAATTCATAGTCTTGTATACATGACAATGTAACAGCGCACTCCAATTAGTAGTACATGTATTTTCAAAATGTGTTGTTTCCAATTCTGTATATCATATTCATCTTGAAATTAATTTACCGCAGATATAAATCTACTGCTGTGCACCCTACCATCAGGGATTATATAAGACAGATAAGAAACAAAATTAAACTTGTTTCACAACTAGTGCCGAGGTCAAGAAAATGTGGATCTCTGCATCCACTCCCCTATATGTCTTCATGATGTAGTGCTTAATTCACTGAGTGCAGGGACAACTTTACCTTTTTGAGTAACTTCAGAGATTAAAAATCCAGACAGATGGGAGGATGGTTAGTGACACACACAACATTCCCATTATACATTCATTTCATGAATTTAGCGTGAAGTACAAAAATTCTCGTAACAAGTTATCTCTCATTACAAACTGCACTTGAAATATCACTTTTATTGTATATTCATTTTTATAACACAGAATAAAACAATTCTGCTGTATATTACAAAGTTCAAAAGCATCAAACAAATATCTTGCTGCCTATTTGTCACCCTGTTCTTGTGTTAAAACTGATAAAACAATGTCTAAAATAAGCAATGTCATAAAAAATAGCAATAAATATATAACATTATAGGCCTCACCTTCTCTGAAACAGTCAGGTGAATTAGCAACAACCCAGCAGATGATTTCAGGACCATGTTTCACATGAAGCAGTGTTTCTACAACATCCTGTATGCTTAGTACCGCTGGAAGTTCAGCCAAGGCAATACAGATCACATCACATATCTCCTCCACATACACCTTATTATCAAACAAATCTGACTGCTTCATGTAGAATTCTTGCCCGCGCTGCTGTTCATGGATCTATAGCAAATTTCACAAGGCAGTGTTATATTATACAATTTTAACATAATTTCCTACTTTAGCACCTGGAACACCAAGGATATTTTTATATTCACGTACAGTACTGTGTGAAACTGCTGTAAAAGTAGGGACTTATGCCATAAAATTTCCAGGTCCATGAATCAAGGTACAGTGAACTACTTTACATTGATCAATGCTTGTTCGCACACTAACTAAACACATGAGTTATTTGGAATAATCTACAGGGGTTAACAAAATATGACAATACAAATTTTCCCTTTTTCCAAACATTAATTTCTAAGAGTATGGTTGTGATGGCAATTTTACTGGCTGTACTAAAATAATATTTGAATTTGTTCTTCTGTCCTCAACATTAAGAACTGATGAGGATATATCTAATATTCTAAGTCTACTACTGAAAGGCAGCAACAAAAGATGGAAAAATACATAGGAATGAGTCTGTGATCATGATATCCCACTCATTTCCAACACATTCTGCTCTTCAAACAGAACCTCTGCCATTTCAGATTAAAATGGATTAATGATGCACAATATTACCGAACTACATATGCATTATGTAAATAATTTAGTGCTACAAATTTGTGCCAAAGTTATGCAGTTATTTTTAAAATTAGGTAATCAGGTATGCCAAAATATTATAAAGTGCTTTTAAGTCCCAACTCCTTTCAATTACCTGTGAAGAAATAAAGAGTAACTCGCTAAGGACAAGACGTAACCTACGGGTCGAATCACTTCGCTCAAATTCCAGAGCAAGGCCATTCTGTAGTGACTGGATAAGAATACTTTCTGACTGAGAACTGCCTAGTTTCTGCCTGAAAAAAAAAAATTAAACTCATAAAGAGAACATTTATCACAATCAAATTAATAGGAGTTGAAGCTACAGGATGTTAATATTAACCAATTCCTCCAAATTGGGAGTGCCTTCAAAAACCACAAAAAGTCACCAAAATTCTGCTACAAGGAGTCAAGTTTCAAGACTTATTGGCCATTAGTAATTCAAGTAAAGAAAAATTATTTTCAGTCTACTTTCCTAAGGAAAAATTTAAATATGAGGTCACTATGCTGTGTGTGTGTGTGTGTGTGTGTGTGTGTGTGTGTGTGTGTGTGCGTGTGCCTTCTTTCAATGTTTGAATTGACTGACAGATATTTACGAAATCTGGTACAATCACACACATACTTTTTAATTTATGCACTCAGTTATAATAGCACAGAACTAAAAAGTGGAAATGACATTAATGACACCAGCGCGAGTTAATACAGGGTGCTTAAATCATGTATGGTAATACAGCTTTGAAAGAAACAATCTGTTACTTTTTAAGAAACTGAAGCAACATTCAGGTGCTAACCTACAAATTGCCTTTACCCTCATTTTAAGGGTAATAAAATAAGAGACTACTGGACCCAGGAACATAAAATTTTGTATGAAACGAAATAATAAACACCTCTACCTGTCTGAAATATTATTTCCAACTCAACAATTAAAAACATGTTCATGGTACAAAATATTTAAGTTGTATCTGACATACTGAATTTACAATCTATACTTAAGTAAAGAGTCCTTCCTACAAATTATAATAAGTCCGTAATATACTTACAATTTCAAAAAGTAAAAAATTTCTAACTTAGTAGGATTTTGAACCTTAACCCTACATGCTACCTCTTGAGTTAAACAGTGGTAACAACTCCTGCTAATCGACCAGCTCACCTCATTTGCTGTTCCTTCTTTACGTCACTCTCCAGGGCATGGAAATCGATTGAGAGTAAGGCAACAATTGAGTTGACGAGTTCGATTCCCGACAATAGAGTTAAAATTTCCTTTCGTCCTTCTGCACATTCCCTGGTGTTGTCCAAAGGAGATATCAAGCTCATTCGAACAAGACATGGGAGAATCGGACGAATTTCTTTGGATGTACATTTTGCTAATTCTGCAATGTCAACATTTTGAATCGCTCTAAACACTCTAGGGGCGACAACGAAGCTGAAATTCATACTGGCCACTCAAAACACAAGCACAGGCACTGCCACCGGCAAGATAGCCCTAGGCCCTCATCGCCATAAACGCCTTGATCGTTCTGTGCCGTTCTCTATTCCGTGGTAAGGTATCAAACAGATGGTAGCGGCCACGGATCATTAAGTGACGATATGGATGATATGGATTCACACAGCCGGATAGGTCGGATAGGTCGCATACGTCGCGTACGGTCTCATACTGTGTTGTCGGAAATCATTTACACGTGGTATTATTCCGCTGAGTGAAACGTAGAATAAAGTCATTCAAAGCGTTCGAAACTGTAACTCAGTGTTGAACACCAAGATATTAAATATCTTTGAGTGTATATACATACTGTCTGCATACTCAAAATTTGATAAATTGTGATTGTGTGACTGGCAGTTAGCCGCCGTTATGAACATTGGTCGTGTATCTTGCGATTTGCCACTATTATGGTGATGTTTGTGCTGAAAGTGTATGCGTGTAAAGTTATTGTGTATAAATAATGTGTTCTTTAACCGAGTTAAGACCAAACAGAGATCTTCTGGACACAAATTTTAGTGGATATAAGTTGTCTTTGGATCCAGTACCTATTTATCGCCACAAATTACATAATGGTAAACCCGATATTGAATGGGATTCCATAAGCGAACAAGTTTTGGTTTCGGCAGTGAGGTCATTGCCTTACAGCTTAAGTACTTTACTGGTTTCACATTTATTAATAATAAACTGGATTCTTTTCAGAGGTCGATCATGTGCTGCCTAGTGAAGACCAGTATTCATTCCTCCATGTCAAAGTGTTTGGCCTACACAATCATTTATATGGGGACCCTTGGGCCAGAGAGGACGTGTATTATATAGATAAACGATGGAAGGTTCATAAAAGTGTGCGAAATGCAAATGTAAGTGTTTAAATAATGAAATTAACAAGAACCGTAGGTTTGCCATTTCTTTAAATCCTTTTGAATATTTCTGAATGTTCTGCATAATCAGTGGAAACGTAGGTGAGAACAGAGATTGTGTAGTGTTGGAGAAATTCTAAAATGTGAACACTGTTGGCACATCGGTGAGCCACTGTATCTTGTCCAAATAGTTCAAGTATCATGACATTGGAGCAATTATTAGTAAGATAAAAATTTTAATTGCAGGGAACTCAAATATAGGTAACCCAAGAACATAACCTAAAACACAGTACAGAATATAGCAATTGCATAGAAACTAAGATGCATGTAGTCCAAGAACTGAACTTAACCTAACACATTGTAATGTGTCACAAAGTTATTTAATGGTATAGCATTGCATTAAACTTGTGACATAGTAGAGCTTTTCTTCAAGACTACAGCAGAAGAAAATGGCAGTTCAGCAGTTATGTAATCAGAGCAGTAAACATCAATACCAGCAGATTTTGTTAGCTCGCTGGTAGTGGTGAACATATTCTAGACTTAATCCTGTATATTTTCCACTAGCACTTTGCAGGACATTGGTTTCATTTTGTTATTGAAGTTAGCATAAGGGCAGCCTCATAACAGCTGCATCAAGACATATGAGACAAAAGATGCAGTCTTGCTTCATTCATGATTGGTTAGCGTGAAGCTGACGTCAGAATCATGACTCAGACCGGTGTGCAGAGGTTTTTATAATCTCAGTTGTTTCAACTGTGCTCCCTTTGCATCATGTCTTGACTGTTACATGTCTTGATGCATGCCAGTGTGCGGCCTACCTTAGGGTTTAGTTAAGAGGATTTTGTACACATCATCTCCTACAAAACCGCAATTCCACATAATTGATGATGTAACAAAAATGTTTTTTATTCCCATTACATTTTTGCTTTGTCACCTCCCATTTTTACTCATCCATATTCATAAGTTTTTCTAGTATTGTTTCATAATGCTTCATACCTTGGTACTCTGGTAACATTACCTGAATACTTTCAGACTGATCAGCTGGATGGAACACTGGAAGTGTGGGAGATGCCAAGTAACCATGTGAGAAAGTCTGGCCACTACAACACTTCACTCAGCTTCCCATCATCAGAATTGGCAGTGCTTACTGATGGAGCTGGTACCCTGCATGTTGTCAGCACTGGCATCAGAGTTGAAACCCCAATGTGGAAAGTGAGTTGGCCTTCATGTACCTCCCAGAATTGAGGTATGCTCCACTGGAGTATACATATTTTCCTAATGTGTTTGTTGTGATGTTGCATGCGGGATTATCCTTGATGTTTGTTATTACTGATTTAAATTCTCTGTTGCATAGCTCATCACATTACAAATATCGTGCTTGCTTACTTGAAGTTAGAATATATTTTTCTTGGTATTTTGTAAGATGTTCATTATATTAAAAACATTTTAAATAATTTTTCTTGGTGTTAATGAGATGTATATTGACACATGTTAGTGAGTAGACGTGGGGTCTGGATCAGTAAGTGCATTTAAAGAACTCTTATAAATCATAACTACAAGTAATTATAGCACTCTCGCTAATTCATTCACTCAACTTCTAACTACAGCAATGTCCTCTTTTGCTCATGTCTTAAGTGGCTGGCAGCTGTCTCACTACTCTCTGAAATACAACTCTCAGCCCATGACTGACTTTCCACTGCAGCTGTCCTGCAACTCACTTATTGCTCCAACTCTGTCTATTCTCCACTGCAACTGACTAAGTCAAAGTTATGTTTTGTCAGTCAGCCATTCTGTCTTGGTGTGAAGAACCCATCTGGGGCCCAAGATCAAATCTTTATTACTTATAGACAGTTGCACATTTGTTGATGTGGGGTGCCCTTTCTGATGAGAGGACTGGTCTGTTGTTTACAGTTTAGTGACCATTTTGCTTCATGAGTTTTAATACAGTTTTGTGATGGCAATTATTCTATCTTCTTCTAACTCAGCCCCATTGAGCTCTGTCATGATCCGCTGAAATATCATGATTACTTTGAACATGTCTGTATTGTACGTTAAGTTTATGTACTTAAGCCTTTTTTTTTTGTAGTGAATTCTATATTTTGTGTATGTGGGTGCTCACATTTCTGCTGGTCTGCTGGGTTTTATCACTTCAGGACCATTCAGATCCAGTGCACATTTTTCCACATGCCCTCTTTCTCACATTGCTAACAAAATCAAAATCTTGTGTGTGTGAAAAATACCAGGTCTCCACTTTACTAGCTGTGTTGAAATCATTTTCACTGTCATCCTGTCATCAAGGGCAAGATGGTAGTCCCGTCCCATGAGTGGTTGCATTTAAAACTGTGGATACCTACAGTCACCTTTGCCAGGCAGGCAGAGGTCAGGATGGTCCAAGGTGCAAGTCAGTGCACAATTCTGTTATTGTTTTACAGGTATTGTTTAGTGATGAAGTGTGTGGAAAGGAGAAGCCATTTACTATAGTGGATTCTCGTGTCATTGAAAGCAGTAACAAACGAGAGATTCATGTTTTGCTTCTTTGGATTGATGAAGTTAAAAAACTCCTTGATGAGTGGGATAGCAGCATAACATTTGTTACAAGGTTGGCGTGGATCACACTTTCTGAAGGTGGGAATATATTTGTAATGAATGAGGCTACATATGGTTTCAGTTTTCTAGTGTTCAAAAAATATGATTTCATCTCCCTCTCCCTACATCAATCTCTCCATCACAACAAATCAGCCAATACAATAACACAGTACCAGACACACAACAGCCCTGACAGAGTCTGACAGACACCTAGAAGACAACACGGGAATTCTCCGTATACCATATGATGTAAGTACAAATTTAAGGAAATTACATGACACACATGTAACCATATACACCAACAAGTAACTACATTATCATTACAGAATGTCTTGATGATAGTCCTGCTGCACCCAGCTTGCAGCCCGATTAAATGGGAGGTAACACATGTGAACAAAGAGTTCATAACATCTCACCCACCTAGGATGAACCAGACCAGAGCCACTAGTATACCAGCAAACTAACTATACATATCCATATACGAGGATCGTACTGAAAGTCATGAGCAACAATTTTTTGTAAAGTAACATGCTTTATTATTGACAAACCAAATACGCCACCTCAATCTACAGACCTTTATTTATTTTTCCACATAATCACCATTTTTTTGTACACATTTCTCCGAGCATTCTGGGAGTTTGAAAATTCCCCTTCTGTAAAATTCCATTCCAGCCATCCGAAGACACTAATGCACTGCTTTCTGAATTGCCTCCCTTGTCTCAAAACATTGTCCATGCAGCTGATCCTTCACAAATCCAAAAAGGTGGTAGTCAGAGGGTGCCAGATCAGGGCTATAGGAGGGGTGTGGAAGGACTTCCCACGCCATCTTTGCAATTGCTTCCCATGTGAGGCGAGCGGCGTGGGGGCGAGCGTTGTTATGCAGGATGATGATGTTTCGTCCCGGACGTTTATCACGCAATGCACGACGGAGCTTGTGCAGCATCTGGACATAACGAGCAGCATTGATGGTTTGCTCAGGTTCCAGGAATTCTGCCAGAATAAACCACTCTGCATCCCAGAAGACTGTGCCCATCACCTTCACAGCTGATGGCACTGTTTTTGCCTTCTTTTTTGATGGAGAATGCAAATGGTGCTATTCCAGACACTCGTTTCATTTCAGGCTCGAAATGGTGAAACCAGCTTTTGTCATCCGTCACAATACGAGAAAAAATCATCACCTTCGTGTCGATATCTCTGCAGCAGTTGTGAGGTGATGGCTTTTCGCTGACCTTTGTGGTCTTTGGTTAGTAACCGCGGGACCCAACGAGCACAAATTTTCCTATAGTACAAGCTTTCAATCATCTGCTGTACTGCACTTTGCCCTATTCCAAGTTTTCGGGCTATTGTGTCACCTTGTTGTGTTCAGTTGAGGCTCTTCGAGGACGACCGCTCCAAGGCTCATTTTTGATGCTGGTGTTCCCATCTTTAAAATGTTTCACCCATCTTTGAACACTGCTCACACCCATGCACACACTACCATAAGCATGCTGAAGTCTCTAGTGAATTTCTGCAGCAGGGATTTCATCTTTCACAAGAAATTCGATGACAGCACACTGGCGAAACGAAATATCGTTGTTGGCCATTTTGTTAGGAGTGATACTGGTCATGTGATGCAAGCTATTGATGTCACAAGACACACAGGGTTAACACAGCAGCTGGGTCCACCTACCACCATACTCCCTTTCGTCTGGTGTTCCCAGGTTGCATGCAAAAAAAAAAAAAAAGTTGCTCATGACTTTCGGTACGACCTACATATTTTAATCTTAATTTTGACCTTAATTTAACCTTCAACTAGATGTACAGTGATTTAACTAATTATATTTAATACCAACATAACTGGACTAAAAAGTAGATAATATCAAGAGTTTTGTTACCAAGCATAATATTACATGTTATATAGTCATATTCAAAATATGGATCCAAGTTCAGCGCCTAAGCACAAACAGTACACTTGATAATGACCCAGTAAGGGTCGAAACATGTTGTGTTTTTAAGATTTTAATATAAATATTCTATATTTATATATTTGTATAAGAAATTGTTGTGTCGATGGGTGTAAAAATACTCAAATGTCATAATTTCATATGGTTTAATGAAAGCAGATAGCAGTATGGATTAACAAGTATATCCGCAAAAAGTTGGCACTAACTTCGCCGACAAGTGGCAGTCGCTCGGTCAGTATAGTTTGCTTGTGGACTACAGGCCACAGAATGTGCGTGTGCCTATATAAGACAGCTGTTGGAACCTGGTTCAAAGGTCTCAGAGTAAAGACAGTTTGGATTCAGTTTGAATGTTCCTTTTCCTTTCCATCGCCTCTGCCAAGGATAAGAATTCCATCCTCTGACAACAGTTACAGAGCCCGCGTCATGCTGTATATCCCCTGTATGAACCACTGGGGGTTTAAAGGAGCACCACATAAGTGCTCCACATCACAGGTAGACTTCTTCACCATTCCCAAGGCTGGCAGAGGCCAGGGAGGTTGAATAGACAGTAATGGACTGGAAGCCTTAGTTAGCTCAGTTCCTTATAAACATAACTGGAGAGTAGTTTGCAGGAATAAACAGGCCTGTTGTTAGATTATGGTACTTTTTAAGCAATTCTTTATGGACTTGATCTAAGTGCTTAATGATCAGACAAGCAAAGCAAGTCTGTATTACAGGACAGACATTTCAGTAGTTTGCTTGGATAGTACGTTTGATTCAGAAGATGAACTGCGGTGTAAACACTATATAATAAAGTGTATAAGAAGAGTAAATGTGAGTAATTTATTTTACTAAGTCAGTTCATACAGTAAGAAAAGATTACAGCCACTGAACATGAAAGAAACAGAATAAAATGATTTACAATTCAGAAAAATTTGCCATGAAAACTTCACAAAGCATATAATGAAGATATTTTTTATCATTCAGCAGTGGAAGAAACAAACAAAAATTATTTTAAGATTTATTGATATTTTAACTGCATTTTCACTTCAGAATGGCTGGTCCCTGTAAATAATTGGTGTTAAGTAATATGTTTAAAGAAAATTAATCTCATCTTTCTCTTCACAGTCCATTGAATAAAAATTTGATATTTCTTTTGTTTATTAATATTACAAAAAGAATATACATGTAATCAGTTTTCAAGAATTTTTAATGTATTTTAGCATTGTTATAATTGTTTGTTTTTATGTTATGTACACAGGTGCAGGCAAGGTTAGATGTTGGTAACTGTAATGGTGATTATTCTGACAAAATGACTTGAGATTATGAGCATTTCTGCAGGAAAATTTAAACACACATCTAGTATGACAACAACTGTTATCATGAACCATCCTTGGCAGATCCTCCTTTGCTCATTCACAATTATCATATAATTTCATGCCACATAACAGTGTTTTACTAAACAAACCAAGAGGCATCACTTATGAGCTAATCATGTCTTTCAGGAGAAAACCAAGTCTGGTCAATGCGGTGTATGCGTCAGTTATCAGGTGTGGGGGGGATGGAATATGCTGCACTGGAGCCAAGTTGCAACAGTTTATATATAGCAAGTGGAAAGCCTTTTCAGTTTGATTCAGACTCAGAAAATGCAGTGCAGAAAAATATGCCTGAAAAAAGTGTAATGAAAGGTACTGTTAAATTGAAAATCACTTCCTACTCTGAAGACCAGAATTACTTTACAGTATGGTGGTCATTGAATTCAAATTTATTAAGTTTCTAGAACACAGGAGAGAGATAGAGAAAAGAAAGAAAACTACTTTAATTTATATAATGCAGTTTGTCACCGTACTGTAAAGATATACCTAAAATATATGAAGTAAAATATTTTCCCTGAAAATTTGCTGTACAAAATGTGGTTACATCCAAGGCTCCAAAGATCTACTCATTTGCTTGCTACAGGTGAGTTAATGAAACACCAGTTACAAATTAATTTGTTGCCCCAGTCTAAGTGTATTAAAGATATACTAAACAATTTTTTATTATCTCATGTAAGATGGAGGCACATGGTAGCATAGTTGGTTGAGGCACTATGCTACAAGTTGGAAGGTCGCAGGGTCAAATCCTGATGAGGTGGATTTTTTTTCCAATTTACCTAACACTTCCAGCCGCACTGTGGCCCTGGAGTCGACAGCCTCTATCAGAAATGAGTACCAGGAATCTTCCTCGGGGGTAAAGGGCGGCTGGTGTGTAAGGCTGACAACCTTACCGCCATCTATGAGCCGATTGTCTAGAAAATGTGAGAAACTCAACATCTTACAACCCTATGGGCCTCCACGGCCTGTTACAGGGATACATTTACTTTTTACTCATGTAAGATGTGATTACAGAATTAAAGAATGTACACTTAACTCTCACTACGTGGTAGCATAGTGGTTAAGGCACTATGCTACAAGTCGGAAGGTTGCGGGTTCAAATACCGATGAGGTCATTGGATTTTTCAGTTGACCTAATCCTTCTGGCCGCACTATGGTCCTGGGGTTCACTCAGCCTCTAACAGAAATGAGTACCAGGAATTAAATAATTTTCCTGGGGAGAAAAATGCAGCCAGCACGTAAGGCTGACAACCTTACCGCCATCTTTGAGCCGATTGTCTGGATAATGTGGGACCCTCAACGTCTCACAACCCTATGGGCCTTCATGGCCTGTTACAGGGATAGCTTTACTTATTTACTTACTTACACTCAACACTTGATTATCCAGGATAATGGTGGGGATGGAAATCACGATTAATTGAAAACCCGGTTAAGACAAATTCTATTAAAAGTAGTATGGTAATACTGCACCTTCATAATACTATAGGCCTACCTGTATTTAAATTTATTCAACCTCATTTTTATGTAATCTCATGGCCTATTTAATACTTTTTTTACATTACACTGAAGTATGAATTAGTTTTTTCAATCACAGTGTTCAACAACATCCAACACTTTTTACGAATATACACACTTAACACTTAAAAAATTTTAATATTGTCGTTTGCTTTTTCACGACATTTTCATTTTTACAGATATCCATACGAAGCCTACATAATATTAGCTTGTCACTTAATAAACTGTTCTCTTCACTCTCAAGATAGTCTAGTAAGGATTCCAAATGATTAAGAGCAGCACCATGTGATATTTTCTTACTAGCAGCACTGTCCACCTCTTCCTCATTCTCACTTCCTGCTCTTCTGGCTGCACCCCCACTGTTACCTGTGCCCTTAGTTGATTAAACCAGAGCATCATTGCTTTGTCGAGATCATCATATGTTGATTTTTTCATGGTTTTTCTCTTCATTCCGCTTGAATTAGAAGATGAAGCAAAGGAAAATAATTGATTCTTTTGTTTTTTCAAACCACGAACAGTTTGTTCTCCAGTACCATATTGCATTGCTAATTGTTTAACTACGCCTCTTTTTCCCAACTGATTGATAATTTCAAGTTTCTGTTGAATTGATAATTTCAAGTTTCTGTTGAATACTTAACACAACACGCTTCCTTTTACGCCCTGACATTTTGCTAACACACTTGAAGATCGATACGAAGAGACTAACTGGGGTGGTGTATCTGTCCTTGGAACTTTCCACAAATCCTTGCATTCTTTCACCCCTACCCTAGAACACTGTGTTAGCATAACAGGACAAAAAAATGCAGAGCTCGGTTCACACTAGTGCGAAAATAGTGTTACAACTCACCATGTGAAACAGAAGTGAATGAATATTAAACAACATATAAGCCTCACACAAGTCCCGGTTAAGCCGCAAACCAGTTTATCCTCCCCCGGATAATTGAGAGTTCAGTGTATTACATTTATTCCCAGATCTCATTAGGAATGTTCAGTTTTTCAGTATCTCATATAAAATTATTTTTATGAAAAATACAGTGAGACTGGGCAAGTAGATTTTGTGAAGTAAATTTAGGTCATATTTCTGGAGCCCTTTCCGTATTGGTATTGATTCACACATTATATGGCTTATGTAACTGAACTGATGTTTTTATTGGTGTTTTCAGAAATACAGGTACAGTACATGTGGCATCAAACAACTGAGGACATTACCGTATGGGTTCAGGTTCCTGAACAGAGTACAGAATCAGATTTGAATGTCAGTGTAGATACCAGTCATGTAAAAATTAAGTTTAAAGACTCTCTATTGCTTGAAGGCTCAACGTGGCACTGCTTGGAGCCACAGCTTACAACATGGATGCTCAACAAACAGAAGTAAGCACTAATAATGAACTTGAAGTTTCACCAATTGCAGTGGATGAAGCTGTAGCTATTTTCCTGTGTGCTTACTTGAATTCAGTCTTGAGTTAACTGTAAGAGACTGCATTATGCTAGCGAAGTGACCTGAATATAACTGCATTACACATGTTCACTTTCACACTTTCTTTCTCTAAGATTAGTTTCAGTGTCATCTTCTCATCTATGTCAAGGGATTTCTGTATAGGTTTGTCTTTCAGTACAAACATAGGCCAGATAGACCTCGTACTGGGGATAGTGGTGATATTAGTTCCTGCATTACAAGCATTAGTAGTGGCCAGTATAGTCAGGATGCACATTTATGAAATTTCATGTAAACTCAAGGTACATTCCAGTATGTTATATCTTCTTATTTTCAAAGTACCTATAAGCGTTATTCAATGTCTGTGTGCACTTTTGTTCTGAAACCCTTCTGTCAGGTCTCAGTGTGCTCTGCTACTACTCAGAACACATGTGCTCATTGATGCAGGTGAATTAAATAATGCTAATAAAGAGTGCAAAAAGAACCTTTCACCTTGTATTTTATATTTTGTACACCATATCTTGAATTGTTTCAAATAAGAGTTACAGATATTAGTGAGATCTGTATTTAATCAATTGTATCCCTTTTATTTATTATTGTTGTTGTTGTTGTTGTTGTTGTTGGCCTTGCAGCTGTTGGATCAGCACATAAATACTAAAGAATTTAACTGAATTATTATTTGGCCGTTTGGGGGACATTTGATGAAGTTTCAGTTTTGGTGTATCAAAACTGAAATTTGCATGGAACTTTCAATGTACACAGACATGACCTCCCCCCCCCCCAATGGTGTATCATCATCATCATCANGTAATCTGTCAGACGACAGGTCCACAGTCTCTTCCAAAACAATTCCTCCACTTAATGTGATCTAGAGCTTTCTCCTTCAAATGACAGTATCCTCTTCTGTCCCCAAGGTCATCCAGCATCTTCTTCCTCGTCTTCTTGTCACTTCTATCCGCCCCTCTATCTTTCCTTCAATAACTTCTTTTAGAAGGCAGTTTCTGCGTAAAATATGACCAATATGTATACGTGAATAAAATTATATAGTTTACAAGGTGTATGGAATTCATACAGGTTGGAGGTTACATTGGTGAAGAGAGAGCAGGGCCTGATGTGGCAAAACCTTTTGAAAGAGGAGACTCAAGGGGAGGAAATCCTAGACCCAACACTAGTTGAGGAGATGCACTTGAAACTTGCACATTTGTGTTCTGATAAAGAGGTATGTAACATGACATCTCTACTCATAATGACTAAAACCAAACTGCAGTTTCCCATAATACACACCTAATTGCATATCCAGCCTCTTAACTCCCATCTGATACAGTTCCATAATCAGTAATAATAATAGTAGTAGTAACAAACCGGGCCCAAATTTGTGTCTGAGTTAGTTTCCTGGGCAGCATTTCTCGATTAGAAAATACACAAACTGAAATTCTATTTCCCATAGGAAACTAGTAACCATTCTAACACTCCAGTATTCTCAGTGTAAACTGAACAATTTGTAATCAAAAGGCTCCAGTAAGCAGTAACAATACACACACTAGGACTCCGGTCTGTGTTGAGGTTAGGTATCTTGAAAACATGACTCCGTTAAAGAAGACGGGAATTCAATACCGTTTCCTCTGAGAAGCACTAAAATATATGAAGTACCATCTGGCACTCTGATACTTCTATAAATTCTTAATAAATTCCAACAGAATTCAGTAAGGTAGAATGTAATCAGCACACCAAGATCCTAGTTAGAGCCAGAGTCAGATTCCTGGAAAACAGGACTTTATTAATAAAGAGCGTGAACTGTATTACTGTTTCCCTTAAGGAGCATCTAAAATATCTGTAATACATTCTAAGTTTTGTAGAAATCCAAAATGCAAGTTAATGAGCAGGAACAGTAGGTGTAATTATAAATTAATAGTTATAGTATAGTAGAGTTATAGTGTAAATTAAAAGGATGTAAATTTAGCGCCATGTTTAGATTGAATGCTAAAATAACATCCACATTGTCACGTATGTAAACAGTAACTTTCAGACTACACTACCTGTAGTTTATGTTGCAGTATTCAATATTACACTGAAGACAGTATTTGAAACTGGTTGCAGGCTTTCACATCGTTTTAAGAATAGTATATTAGCTGCTGTGGTTAATTAATTTCAAAACTAGTTATTTGAAGTCTCAGATTTAACTTTACTGTGAACTTTACACTGCTTAGAACTGTATCTGAATGTCTGATGCTTGCTCCTCTGTCTTTGTTCAGGTAACAGATTCAGGTGGGAACTGTGTCCCAGCCTTCAATTCAGAGCAGCTAGAAGAATGTGATGCCCTTCCATTGGAAACATTGCTTCTGGTGAGACTGGACTCCCATACACATGATGTGTCTCACAAAGTGAGTGTTACTTCCCAATTTACACCCTTCAAATAGTATGTTTCCAATGTGTATGACAGGCAGCCTACACATACTGAGATCCATACGCTAATTAATTCTATTTGGAATAAGGAAGACTTGCCTGATGAGTGGAAGGAGTGTTATTGTACCAGTTCACAAGAAGGGTGATAAAACTGGCTGTAGTAATTATCGTAGGATATCACTGCTGTCAACTTCATACAGAATTGTATCTGATATCCTTCTCTCAAGGTTAGGTTCATATACGGATTAAATTATTGGGGATCATCAGCATGGGTTTCGACTAACACATCAACTACAGATCAGATTTTTTGCATTCGTCAGATACCGGAGAAAAAATGGGAGTACGATGAGACAGTACATCAGCTATTTGTAGACTTCAAGAAAGCCCACGATTCAGTTAGAGAAGTACACAAGGTGTGTCCCAAAAGTCATGAAATATATTTCTTTCCCACGCTCCTACTGGTCGGAGTGCGCTGGAACTGGTTGGGTTAGTGCAGGGAAGCATTTAGTTTCACAGCGCACCCAAAGTCAGTCTGCTCGAGCATCGGAGGCGCCAGTATCACTGATTTAGTGCACCTGTGTTTTGTGACACGTCATGGCACGCGATGGCGGATACTTTCGAACAACGTTGGGCGGTCAAGTTCTGCACAAAGCTCAACAAAAACGCTGCCGAAACTCACGAACTGCTTAAGCTCTGCTCTATCATATGTGCAAGTTACAAGGTGGGTGGCTTCCCCGAAACCGAAGAATGCTCATTGTCTTTTTCGACGCCAAGGGTGTGGTCCACAAAGAGTTTTTACCCAAGGACAGACCGTCAACGCTCCCTACTACGTGGATGTTCTAGAAAGATTAAGGAAAAGGGTCATCCTCGTGCAAAAAGACATTGCTGCTAACTGGCGGCTGCATCATGACAATGCGCCCAGCCACACGTCTCTGCTCGTCTGTGAGTTCCTGGCGAAGCACCACGTGGCAGCGCTGCTGCAGCCACCCAACAGCCCCGACCTAGCTCCGGCCGACTTCTTTTTGTTCCTGCGGATCAAGACTGCACTCAAAGGACGTCGTTTTGAAAGCATTCAGGCTCTCCAAGGGGCCGTGACAACAGCTTTAAATGAGGTTCCCGTCGAGGTCTTTGAGGGGGCGTACCGGGCATGGGAGAGTCGGTGGAAAAAATGTGTAGATGCTCATGGACAGTACTTTGAAGAATATTAACACTTTATACCGATATCATCAATAAATTTAATATATTGTAACGTGTTTCGTTACTGAAGACGCAGTAGAGATGGTTAATTGGTTTATTTAACAATCTACAAGTAACGGCTACAATTACTTATCACACAGTTGCGGGGTTTCACACTTTATAGCCCTAATCGCATTAATCTGTTACCACTGTTGCGGGGTTTCACGATTTATAACCCTATGCGCAAATCAGCTCACTCTGTCTTCAGTGGTCTGCACGTTTACAGTAGGGGAGCTATGTATCACTGTATCACACACTCCCAATTACACAATTACACACACGTCCGGTTCTTCTTTCCGCGACGGCTGCTATACTCAACTCGACTCGGCGACTGTTATGTTCCAACTCGGCGACTGCCCATATTACAACTCAACTCGTAGCTGCTGTGCAGTTCCCTTATATAGCCGCAATGGTGCCTGTTGCGTGACACGTCACAGGAGTTGTTGACTGCTGCCTGGCAACCGCGATATCCCTTGGTGACGTCACCGCTGTTGACTCGCGTTGCATAGTTACCAGGTTGCGGGAGCTCGGCTAGCTTCGGCTCCGCTCGGCTCACTTTGGCTCCGCTCGTGACGTCACCGCGGGGTGATGATTCGCCTATTACGCGAGCGCTACGTTACCGCCACGTTCCGCTGGGGAGGTAGGGGTCAACATGTCACACTATGTATATATATATATATATTTCATGACTTTTGGGACACACCTTGTATTGTACAATATTCTGATAGAGTTTGGGGTACCCATGAAACTAGTTAGGCTGATTAAAATGTGTTTAAATGAAACATCTAATAAAAGCTGTGGAAGTAAACGTTTGTCGATAATTTTCCTATCCATAATGGCCTAAAACAAGGAGATGCTTTATTGCCACTCCTTTTCGACTTTGCTTTAGAATATGTCATTACAAAGGTCCAGGAAAACCAGGAGGGACTGAAATGAAATGGGACACATCAGCTGCTGGTCTGTGCTGATGTGGTAAGTCTGCTGGGTGATAACATAGATACCATAAAGAAAAACACAGGAACTTTAATTAATGCTAGTAAGAAGGTTAGTCTAGAAGTAAACACATAGCTAGCAGATGTTTTGGAAATGTGGCACAGTTCAGATATTTGGGAACAAATCAAAACTTCATTCAGGAGGAAATTATGAGGAGACTGAATTAGCATAATGCTTGTTACGATTCAGTCCAGATCCTTTTGTCTTCTCATCTGTTGTCTAAAAACATAAAAATTAAAATATACAAAACTATATTTTGCCTGTGGTTCTGTATGGGTGTGAAATTTGGTCTGTGACATTAAGGGAGGAACATAGACTGAAGATGTTTGAGAACAGGGTGCTGACAAGAATATTTGGATTGAAGAGAGACAAAGTGACAGGAGGTTAGAGAAAACTGCATAATGAGGAGCTTAATAACTTGTACCCTTTAACAAGTATAATTAGAATGATCAAGTCAAGGACGATGAGATGGGCAAGGCATGTAACATGAATGGGAGAGAGGAGGAATGCATATAGGATATGGTGAGAAAGCTAGGAGGAAAGATACCACTAGGAAGACCAAGATGTAGGTGGGTGGACAATATTAAAATGGATCTTAGAGATATATGAAGGAGTGGTATGGACTGGATTGATCTGGCTCAGGATAGGGAGAGGGCTCTTTTGAACACGGTAATGAACCTTCAGGTTCCATAGAATGCTGGGAAGTCCTTGGGTAGCTGCACAGTTGGCAGCTTCTCAAGAAGGGCTCAGCTCCATGAAGTTAGTTTAGTTAGAGTGTACTTCAGTTTGAGGTTACTGTGAAATACACTGTTGCAAATTTTCTGTTTTTACTATTCTGAAGATTAATTTGGGAGGGCACCAGTGGCTGTTCAGTGATCCTATGAAGACTGATGCTGTCCCTGTCATGTGTCTGCGTCATGATGTCGATGGTTGCGTTTGGCAGTTGGAATCCCCTCAGGAGAATGGGCAATGGCCTTGTACACATATTGGTACTTTTCCAGCCTTTGGTTATGTGCAGGCCTCAAAACAACAGAAGAAATTCTGCACTTGTGCTCCAGGTACTTTAAACTTTGTCTTTTTTCTTGTTCTTTTCTTCTTCCTCCTCTTGTGTTTCCACATTTTATGTGTATCATCTAGCAACCAAGCCTCTCTTCAACTGCCTTCTTATTAATTTGGGCTATCTCTGTTATGTCATGTAGCAGAATCTAATGATAATAACAGTTATGTACCTTAATGTTATACATGTTTTATAACACGTACTTGGATTTTATGCAGTGAGAAATTGATACAGTTTTATTTGAGCTACTACTTGGGAAACCTATGTATAGATAGGAAAATATTGGGGTTGATCTTAGAGAATAAGGCAGTGAAGACATGAACTAGTCTGAGCTAGTTGAGGTTAAGGTCCAGTGGTGGACTTACATAAACATGGTAATGAACCTTCAGGTTCCATATAAGCAGGCAACTTCTTTAGCTATCTGTCAATTATCTACTGCTCAAGGAAGATCCTGTGTGTTACTTCATCTGAACTTCATGTAAATAGTTCTTGAAGACCTGTACAGATTAAAATGAAATATAGCTGTAAACTTCTAATGCATGTTCACCACACCAACTTCCATCTCAAGATATGTTGGGTAGATTGGGAGGTAAAAATGAAGCTGGGCGGACATGCCTTTCCCACCATGTTCATTTTTCACATGTAATGCAAAAGTGAATAAAATGTTTGGTCAGATGTTAGCTACATGCTGTTCTATTGCAGATATGTCTTATGTCGCTGTCTGTGAAGGAAGTCGTCATATTTATATTTACCGGCAACCTGTAGCCATTGCAACAGAATTGAGAAACCGTCGTACAGGGCAGCACATGACACGTGTAGCTAAACAGCAACTGGTGAACCTGGACTCAGTGTCAGAAGTGCTAGGAGTCCACGCTTCTTGCCACATGCTGTATGTGCTAACTGTGGATACACTATATGCACTCCGTGTCAGTTATAACCCCAGTCCTGAATCCTAGGTGAGTGCATTGCCACATAACTCTTTAGTTCAGCACTTATGACATCAGTGCTTACCGTTTCACATCCTTGCATCCTGTTGCCATTCCACCCATTTTAATTGAATTCTATTTCCTTCTCAGTCTTAAAAGTGGTAGTTTTACCAAATGCCCCTACCAAAATTCTATATGCATTTGATATCTCTCCCATCAGAGCAGCATTGCCCCAACAAAAGTAAGGAATTTCCTAGATAATTCCTATGCTCTAACTCTCTTAGTTCATGTCTCTGAGGTCAGTTTCTTTGAGATTAGATGTTACAGGACACAGGTAGTTGAAATTAAATTATATCATATACAAAACATCATAATCAAAATAAAGTCATTTTTGGATCCATAGTACACATATTCATTTACTATACTTACATATGCTAATAAGAACATAGGTTCCACATTCAATTTAACCATGAGAACACCAAAGAATTTGGGATATTGTGTTCATACTAATTGCTGGTTGCCATCGACTGTAATTGGCAGCTGTTTAACAGTGTTGCTTGTTGCTACATGACAACTCATGTAGGTCTCATTAAATTCTACAACTTTAATTTGAAACATATTTTGATATTGTGAACATGATGTGCAAGAAAAAATAATTTTTCTATGATATAGCTGCAAGCTTATATAAAGTTCTATATATAAAAAAAAAATTCTAATGTGCGTATGTTCACCCACCATGCAGTAGTTCTCCAAGACACCACCAGCAACACTACCCACCATAAGTGCTTTTACAATAAAAGCTAGTTGAGTTTGTGATGTTTATAATATACACATCCATTAAGTTTTATTAAAAATATGTTGAGAGGTAATATAATGTATAAACCTAATATTCATTAGGGATTTTTATATTACTGAGAATGATAGGGCCAAAGCCATCATGTAGCCAGTTTTTTTTTAAGCTTCAAATCTTTATCTCTTATCCCACTTGGCTGTGAAGTCCTGTTATTTCTTGATGATCACACTTGCAGGTTACTGAACTGATACTTACTCACAGAGCTGAGCCCTTCTTGAGGAGCCACCAATTCTGCAGCAACTCAAGAATTTCCCAGCATTTTATGGAACCCAAAGGTCCATTACCATGTTCACAAGAGCTCTCCACTGGTCCATATCCTGAGCCAGATCAATCCAATCCATACCATTCGATCCTATCTCTCTAAGATCCATTTTAATACTGTCCACCCACCTACGCCTTGGCCTTCCCAGTGGTCTCTTTCCTTCTGGCCAATATCCTATATGCATTCCTCTTCTCCCCCAGTGAATTAATATCTACTACTGAAGTAAAATAAAGCACTTGTTCGTAAATTTTTCTTGAAAGCAATGTTATGCCAATTACCATGAAAGAAGATGGTTTTTGGCTGTTGCAGGCATGTAAATGCCTGACAGTGAATGTGTCAGTAGCTGTGTTCTGTAACTAAGATTTGGCTTTTCACTTCACTCAAAGGTGCTCAATATCAATCAAGAAGTGAACTGGACACAAATTTTCCACAAAGAAGATGGGTACACAGGTGTCAAGTATGTGTAGAGGGAGGAAGCAACTGGAAAATGAACAGGGTTTATGCTCTCAGTTTATATAGCAAAACTGTTTTACAATAAGACGCAACTTACCTTCAGAATACGCATCATAAAATTAAACACTTTAAAATAAATTACCATAAATAAGTTCAGTTAACAAATACAAATGATGTTTATCTAAATTTGCTATGTACACATTTTGCTTACAAGTGGCAAGATGGCATACAGTCTGACTTGCTATATAAATACCAAGTCAAAGACTTACAGTGTAAGGCATCTCCAAACTTCTCACAATCACAAGATAGTTTAATACATAATAAAAATTATTTTGGTGGGATTAACTTCGCAACTTCTTTGCAAGCTGAGTTGATGTCAGGATATTTGTAATGAAATCCATATTCAAGAGTTCGCTTGGGGATCACTTTCTGCCCCTCAGTCATAATTTTGGCCCGCTCCTCACTGAATGCGACATTTAGCACAAATTCAGGAATTGGAATCAGTGCAGGTCGCCATAAAGCTTGTCCAAATGCTCTTGCAAATTGTCTGTTTGTCACAATCTGTAACCACAAGATATCAGAAACACTTTCTTATTTTGAAAGCAAACAAAATTCTTAATTTTACAAATTATGGGAAATGATTGATCAGAATTCTTAGATGTTTTATTATGGAAACCTTTCATCTGTTCCCTGAAAGATCATAGGAAGCCTCCCTCACAGTAATCTATAGATGCGTTCTCTATTGGGCCATGCAGACCTGTACCCACTGCTTTTAACAGGCACCAACTTTGCCCTCTTCCTGGTTTCCCTTTAGAACTTTTGCTTTTTTTATCCCCTGCCACATGCTTAACAGTCCATGCACACAACTTCCCTGCCACCCTCTATGGTTCTTTCCCCACCACATCCTTCATTACTTGCTTCCACCAAGTTCCCAGATCTGCATAGGGGCCCTTCTTAGAGCCAACTGTCTGTCTCCTACTGATTCACTTTTTGAGATAGCCAGTGGGAACTGATGAGTTGTCTTGCAGCTCCCTCCAGTTTCTTATGTAGACCTGTGCTTTTTACAAGCAGATTATTTTGGTTGCTATCTGCTTCATGTTGGTGCCTGGCTAACTTATTCTTCAACTCTAAAGGGGGAAGCAACGTGTCCCTTTGAAATGTCAGTTGACTTTCAACAGGGCATTATGCCCCAGAAGATGGAACTCTTTTATAACTGCTACTGTACGAACTGAGGTTCGTACAAAGTTAATTTTACTAAAGTATTAAGTTATGGGCCCTATGTGTTCATAAATTTACATATACATGGTATCTTGAAATGTGAACATTGTGTTTGTCATTTATTTTTTAAAGAACTTTGAATTTCCACAAGATCTTACATTCTGCTGCTGGGAGACGCTTTTCTTTTTCCTGACACAGAAATCATTTTTGTTGAAGCAAACATCATCCATCTCCAACTGATGCTACACACTGCCATTTCTCACAGCCTAATCACATCTTCACAGAAAGAAAAATCCTTGGTTCAACACCACTTCCAAATAATCAAATGTTATTTAATAACTAACACTCACATCTCGTGTCAAATGTCTTGCAGGCATAGAAAGGCAGCACATCCTTCTGTTTAATACTCTGGCTCCAGAAACTTGTAATATGTGTGGTAATGGTTTTCTGAATTTGGTATGGTGCTTTGCTGTGTGGAGCCATTATGTTCAAATATCTCATTCTGTTTTATGATTATTGCCATTAGAAAGATGGAAAGATAATATTAAAATTTATCTCTTGAAGTAGTCTGTGAAGGTGAGAACAGCACTGAACTGCTTAGATTTCTCTCCAGTGGTTTTGTTCTGGTATTAGTGATGCTGTTTCTGTGTGCTTAGTGACATTTTGTAACTGCATAGATTATCTGATATGTGTCACAGGGGAAGATGATTATTAATGATGATCAACAGAGAAGGATGGGAAAGTGGGAAGGTTTATTTTAACATGTTGAAGTCAGAAGTTCAATGATAAAATTCAGTTCCTACCTTACTGAAAAAACACTCTGCATCTCTGTATCAATGCTGTTTATGGGAATAATCATTGGTATTCTTAGAATCACATGAAACAAAAATTCACTGTGGGGCAAAATTCAGAGTTTTTGTATGTGAAAACAGGTGATTTATAGCTTCTTAGATACTGCCATTTGTAGTTACAGTTCCTTCAGTGTAAATGTACTACTGTATAATCTAAGGCCCAGAAGCACTACTTCTGAAATACTCAGGTTTCAAACACAGACTAAATTATTTGTCAGATATTCTTAATTCCAATTTAATATTTCTTTATAGATATGCTACAAACCTGGGGGGCCACTCCATTCAGCACACCATGCACACTGTCATTCTCGATCGCAAACAGCAACAAATTGGCCACATCATGAATGTGGATCCATGGCATATATTGGTCTCCTCTTCCTACAGGCCCTCCCAAACCAAGATAGAATGGCAAGAACAACTGTTTTATCATACCACCATTTCTTCCAAGTATTACACCTGCAGATAAAAAATAAAATTTAAGCTTTCCTTTTACATATGTAGGGATGTAAGGTAATGGTAAAGTTGTCCCTGTGCATAACAAATTAAGCACTACACCAGGAAGGCATATAGGGAAGTGGATGTATAGATTCAAATTTTCTTGACCTAGGCACTAGATGGAGGTGGTGAGTGGTCAGCTGCCGCTTTACTCCCAGGAAAAGAGCCCCCAGTACCCACTGGATAGGAGGTTGAGAGGACCCCAGAACCAGTCTGGATGACTTTGAGCAGGACTCGAACTCCGACCCCTCGGTCGTCCGGCCCATAGCCAGTCGCTATACTGACTGCAATGTGTATTTCAGAAATCTGTATGTCACCTTACCAGATCGGACTATGACCTGCCGAACACCTAAATGTGCTGGCAGCTTGGCAGCACTCTCCCACTCCTGACACAACTTTGACAAGAAATCAAAGCTTTCTCCATGACTGCCTTCATTGTACTCAGTTGTTTGGCTTGGCTCGTATATCCCTTGAAACAAACAGAATGGAAACAGTAAATAAAATTATACCTTAGGCTCTTGTCTAAAGTACTTTTATACAATTCTTTTAGCTCCAGCATGAGCTGTTACATGCTTGTTCCTTACTTTTAAGATTTTTACTGACCTATATACAGCCTGTTTATTGAATTTTGTTAAAATAATATTTATTGTTGCTTTTCCTGACCTTTTTACAATTTTACATTCTCACATAGTCTGCTTCTTAATTAATTATACTAGGTGGTTCCAATATGACTGGGACTGATTTTTTTGTAACAAGCCGCACTGCGCAGCAGCTGTGTGACCTTGAGAGATTGTAGCCACAACCTCCACTCTCCCTCCTGTTAGGGTTAGAACCTGTTCAGTGCTGTCTGGGAGTTGCTAGAGGGATGAGCATACAGAAGGTACCGCGGAGCATGGAACAACGCATTGTGATCAAATTCCTCGTTGGAGAAAACGTCCCGTCTGCTGAAATTCACCACAAACTCCAACAACAGTATGGGGAAGAGTGTCTCTCATGGACTCGTGTGTTTGAATGGTGTAAGTGCTTCAGAGAGGGCAGAGAGCGCGTGGAGAATGAACCGCATGATAGTTGGCTGTGAACATCCATCACCGAGCCAAACATTGATCATGCAGACATGCTTATTCGTGAGAATAGGCGCATCACTATCAAGGAACTTGGAGTAATGCTGTCCATCAGTGTTGGTAGTGTAGAAGACATCGTGAAATACCACCTGCACTATCGCATACCCCCATATGGCCAAAACAACAATGGAAACCCTTCGGAAATTGAAATGGAACCTTCTGACACATCTGCCGTACAGTCCCAATTTGGCCTCAAGTGATTTCTACCTGTTCGGAAGGCTCAAATCAGACTTGCAAGGCATGTGGTTTCTGGACAACACCATCATCCAGACTGTTTGGGAGTGGATATGCCGCCAACCACAAATCTTTTTTTTGGGGGGGGGCATCAGGATGCTTCCAGAAAGTTGGAAAAAATGTGTTGACTCCGGAGGGGAGTACTTTGAAAACTGACATGTGCAAGTAAGTGTTTGGCAATTATGTTTTTTTTTAAATCAGTCCCAGTCATATTTGAACCGCCTTCTATACTGAATTTCATAAAGGGTCATCACCCAGAAGGTCTTCCAGGAGCATACAGCCATCGATGCTGGCACAGTTCTAACCACATACAGATACATCATAGCTTTAATATTATCACTGCATTTCACTTTTAGTTTTATAAACAACTAACTGCTTTCCCATAAGTTTTCTCACCAAAATTGTGTGGTATTTCTTGTTTCCTTTGAGCTACATGTTGAGTCCATTGTATCCTAACAATACTAGATGACCTGTCCAAATCACAAAGCTCTCCATTATGTATGGTAGTATCAGCTGTTACCCACTTACTATTCCTCTTGGATCAAAATGTTTTGCTGACCACTGTGTTTCCATATACTTGCACTTACAGTAGGAGATGAGGAATGCATGCAAAATGTTAATGGGAAACACTTGTAAAATGCCCACTTGGAAGTCCAAGAAGGAGATAAGGGTAACATTAAGATGAGTATTAGAGAGGTTTGGTGGGAGTATGGAAATGGCTTTCAATCATATGCAATGGTGTAAGCGAAATCAAAACTTCAAGTTCTGCTAACAGAGAGTTTGCCAGCAGTAATTGAAATTTAAGCTCTTCCCTAAGGGTAAGAGATAATTAAACTTTCCAGAGTGAATTATCAGTGACCTTACAGTCTTACCTACACCTGAAATTGAAATGAATACTTTTGGTTTAAATGGTGCTTTGATGATTGCATCTGCAAGAGATCGTGTAGTATTGACTCGGCTAGCCCACACATTTTGCTTGAAGCCTGGAGTCCAGCGCCGTGTAGGATTCAGAACATTCTGTCCGGCAAGACTTACAACAGCCACAGTATTAACAGGCAAACCAGATTCAGCCAGTTCAGTCTGGAAGAATTCAAAATCTCATGTGCCTGTGAGAAAATAGTAATGAGTTGCTTTGTTGAAGCTAATGCATCATGTTCTGGTGGTAAGGCAAATGCCAGAGTGCAATACGCAGGGCTCCTGCATCATAGATATTCTATGCAATTTCAAACCCCTCATTGATTTTTAAGGTTTGGGAGCCAGTCAAAATTTGTAAGGGCCAAGCATAAACTGATTACCAAAACTCTGTATGGTATACTTAGCAGGGCACTGCAAGCAGGTTCATTCTCATCTTGATGGTGAATCTGACAGCTGCCTAACTTACTTGAAGCAGTTAATATGGGGGGGGGGCATACTGTAGACCTGTAAGTGGTGGCCAAAGATGTAGTGGATGCGTGCTGAATACATTACATGTCACAGCTTCAACAAAGAGTTTTGTTCTTAAGTGACATACTACAGTATATCATGCCCTCACATAATGTAAATTCAATTTAAGAACTCCATGAAAATTATGTTCAAATATTAAAACTCAATCATATACATTATTTTCCCGGTACATCTTCCATGCATTCCAGTGTCACAAAAATAATATTGTTTCATCATGTCACAAATTTGCAAGGAATTTTTTTTTCAGCCCTGATTTTGATGCTCAGTGACTGCATGACAAAGAAATATTGTTTGCACAGATACCACACTGCATTCATAAATTACTTTTCCTTCCTAAAAATTTACTTATTTCTCCAGGTTTTGCCTAGCACTGGATCGGGCCTTTAACACACCTCAGAAGCAATGACATGATTATCAGGCATTGGTGGAATGATAGGCTGAAGATAACTATTGTATTTTAAGAAAAGGCTGCCCCAACTTTGGCTTGTCTGCCACAAATTTCACATGGAGTGTCCTGTGACTGAACTTCTGTTCTGCCTGACCTTTGAGAATCTGATGTCCTGTCTGAGCATTAATCTTACCATTTCTCCTTATGTTTTGCTAAATATAACATCAGTGTCATTAGTTCCAGGTGATGAACCACATATAAGAAACTGGAGCAGATCTGATTTGAGCTTCAAGCATGCTGGTTATACTGGATTAACATGGGCCAAATTAAATTTTCCATACAACTTTCGGTATAGATTTAGTTTAAATACATGGTGTAGATGAGCATTAAACATTTGGACTGATGTGACCACCACATTCTACATTTTCTTTATGTACTGAATGCATACAAATAAGTTCCAGCGAATTGTTTGTAATAGTCACCCAAGAAATTCTCTGTGGTCCAGGCATCCGAGATACTATGTTTACACCGTATCCTCTACTGCGCAAAAGTTTGCTGAATGCAGTACCTACAAAGCCAGTCCCTCCACCTGAAAACCAGATAATTCCTGAGAGTCAGTTAGGAAGATTATTTCTTTTGCAACATTGTTTCAAATCATAATTTAAGTGCAGTTCAGATGCAAATAGTACTGCCAACACCCTTGTTTCCATAATCAGGGCTGAACATAAGGGATCAAAACTACATAAAGTTGTCCTTGATTTTTGGTAACAGGGTTGTTACACAGAATATTGGTTCTGACCAAGAAACCTCTGTATTATATGTTTATAATGCACAATAATACATAGTTCAAGATAAAAACTAATTCCAGAAATGCTGACAAAGGACTGGTGGAAAGGGAACTAATCTATTGCCTGTGATTTGTCAAGCCGTATGATGATACATCATGTCTTTTTCCATTCGTGAATAAAATTAATAGGAAAGTCAGTTTATCAGAAGTGTGTTTGGAAAGCTGTCATTGGGCACTTTCTCCAATATCAAGGAAAGAAGTATCACAGCATAAAATCAATGGATTAGATTTAGGTTGAAGCTAACAATGCAGACAAATACAGTGCTTCTGAAAATCAAACACTAATCGGTTAAAGCGTTTTCTAAGCAATGACGTAACAATTTCACGGTAATAATACTGCAGGTCAGTCACAGCTAGAACTATAATTAATTTGGGGCACTGGGATAAGGGGCTCCCTAGCTTGAGTACAAAGGAAGATTGAATGTTGCTAAATTTTATGTACTGTCATACACATAATTCGTAATGTCAACTCACCTCGGATCTTTTGCTGTGGTTATATAATGCTGTATTCTCCTATCCATTTCCCCCAGCTGTTTAAACAATATTTTGTTACACTTACGTATAGAAAATATTATACCTCTCAAATGACATGCAGTCCATACTGAGTCGCAAGTCGCATGTGCCCCTTCAATGTGTGCAGACCCAAGAGTTCAGATATACCAGACGACTTATACATAAGGGGCACATACTTTCATTTACAGGAACTTGCCCTGATAAAAAAACTGTACCTTACCAATAAGCACTGATCCTAATGGGCTGGTCATAGTGGAAAATTTCTTGCCGGCTTATTTACTAACTTCAACGAATAACATAATCAGCCATATTATAACTGGCGGTCAGCGATGCGTTTATATTTATCATAATGCGTGTTGGGAATTGTTAATCCGCAATTCATGTTCAATCGTGGTTATATGATGCACAGATAAATTGTGTGTGTATTGATCCGTGGAGATGGGGGTCACGAAAAGTCACGAAGGTCCTTTCATTTTTGCTCTCTGTTCTTGAGCGTTCTTGAGGTAGCCATTTTGTGAGCGACTACAGGTGGTTAAGTGTTTCGGAATTTAAAAATTTTAAAATATTCGTAGTTTACAGTAGCAGTAATAAGTTCAAAAGTGCCAGCATAATTATGTGCATGTAAGATAACATTGTTTTATTTTGCAGGGAACTGGGTACGTTATAATGAATTAGGATAGGGTTTAAGAATGTGGAGCACGTGACTGTGCTCAGTTTATTTATGAATAATTGATAAATTATGAAACATAAAAATACTGACATTTGTTGTAAAGTAAAGTTACAAATTGAGCCTTAATTAAGAGAAATAAGTGACTCATGACAACTTTCTAAAGGAGGGCCTGTCATCTGCTTCATATTAGATTCCGGATATGATTCTTAGCTTGGAGGCTGCCGAGCCAGGCAGAGGTTTGTGTTAGTTCTGATAGGCCGCGCCTATAGCCCAAGCGGTTAGCCGCATCGCGGCGTCCCGGGTTCGATCCCGGGTCTGGTCAAGTGGGATTTGAGGTGGACGAAGTGGCGCTGGGGTAGGTTTTCTCCGAGTACATAGGTTTCCCCTGCCAATCTTCATTCCACCAATTGCTCCACAATACCCCTCACCCATCATCTGGGGCTGGTTCAATAGGCCAGAAGTGGCTGCAGTACAAGGGACTTATTCTCACCCCACTAGCAATAAAAAAAATAGTTTTCAGCTGTGCCAGGCTAACTCTGGTATGATACCAAATAGGTTATGACCACTTTCAAATGTATTGAGAATCAGTTTTCCAGTTTAAGGCCCCGGAAGGCCTTAAATAAATCAAGAATGAGCAAGGAATAACAGTAGAAACTATTTTGAATTTTTTCATTTTTGGTCCGTTACACTATCAATCACAAAGTTAATAGAAAGTCCGTCGAGTGTAGCAATTTGTAGGTCACTTCTTTATCACTTCTGCCTTACATGTTTCGGTTTGACACAACCATCATCAGAGGCACTTACTACAATTATGAAAACACTGTCATTGTTTATGATGTTCACAGTTATGTTTGTTGTGTGGACGCTGCTACAATATGTTGACGTGTAAAAGCACAACACTTGCTAGGATAGTTGAGTACACTATCAATTCTCACTTTCCATCCGAAACTGTTTTTAAGTTAAAACGCTAATGTTAAAATGTTTAAAATAACTTAAAAACAGTTTCGGATGGAAAGTGAGAATTGATAGTGTACTCAACTATCCTAGCAAGTGTTGTGCTTTTACACGTCAACATATTGTAGCAGCGTCCACACAACAAACATAACTGTGAACATCATAAACAACGACAGTGTTTTCATAATTGTAGTAAGTGCCTCTGATGATGGTTGTGTCAAACCGAAACATGTAAGGCAGAAGTGATAAAGAAGTGACCTACAAATTGTTACACTCGACGGACTTTCTATTAACTAAGTAGAAACTACTATACCCTGTTTCAAGGCCATGTTAACTTTTCATTTCCATGCGAGTGAATGTATGCTTGAGCTGTAAATGCCATTTTTAATTTAGGTTTGTGATCTATTTGCTTTACTGTATATGGGAATTAAGTCGGTTCAACATGGTTGAGAAACAGGATACAGTGGTTTTATATACACAGGCATTTCTTTCTGTTACAAGGAGTATATTGGTACAATGAAGAATTGCTGTTTCTAGCGATGGAGAACTTTTCAAATGCAGCTGAAGTGAGGAGTGGCTACAGGTTGAACCTGCCTACACACTATCTACTAGATTTGTTGATGCTCATTCTGTCAGATGCTCATCGCTCATTTTTCTGGTTGTTTGGAAATTTAAAATCTTCAGTCTTTTTTATTCATTGCCAGTGCTGTTCAGAACGTGTTTTAATTTCAGTTAAACATCTAGTACATAATAAAAAGTACTGAAAACACTAGTAGGAGAAATGTAAAAGTGTACTTGATGATTCTTTCTGTTGTCAAGCTGACACTAAGGGGAAAGTGCAAATGCATGACAATGGAGCTTACTGACTTTGACTCAAGGAACACACATGAATCTTCCATCTCCTTTTCTTTTCAGTCCACTGTGTAGGATGGTTCCTTGTAGGAAAGGTATATATTGTATCAGCTGCATATTACTGTTACAGGTGAAATGTCCAGTTTCTTCATGTGGTCAACTGCAAAATTCAAGGGCAGCTGGAAAAGTCTAATGTTTCGGGAGGTGTAAGTATGCCTAGTGCCCAGAATCTAAATGGTGTGAATGAAAGCTCTGCACATTTATGGTGGACCATTAATACTTACAGTATCTTTTCTCTTTTGTGTAACAGAGTGCCTGCTTTTACAAATTCTTGCTTTAAATAAATGGCCACTTTGCTTATGCATACTGATTGTGTCATATATCGTTAATTTTTTTAAATCTGTGTGTTGCCCCATGTTGCCCAGACATTTAAATACTGTTCATTGGTGGATTATAATTTACAGTCATGCAGTTAACAAGATATCTGTACTGAAGATGTTTGTCATGTAGTTGCTGATTATGAGTTGTTTGGAAATTCAAATTACATTAAATTTTGAACACATTGAGTAATATGCTTGAAAGAAATATCTTCATTTTAGTTTCTAGTGTTGCACATATCACAGATTAATGCTATTATTAGTAGTTTGATTAAGGTTTATAGTTTTGTCATGGATTGTATAACCTTTAACTCTTTGTTAACAGTCCTGGGCAGAGAAGCTGCTGTACCAAGGGATGGATCATCTCATTTTCTTAGTATGGAAATGCCACAGGATATTTGCTCAAGTTCTTCTCCCCAACTGTGCACCAGTTATGGTCCCAAGCACTAAAGGTATGTAGTGCATTTGATATAGAACGCTGTTATAGCTGGGCTATGCTGCTGACTGCAGGCCCCTTACAAGTATGCACAGTGGAACCACCATTTAATGTTCTTCAGTTTAATATTTTCCCACATGTAACATTCAGTTTCAGTGAGCCAGTTGAATAATGTCAGTGTCAATTTTCCTTTGTGTAAGATTTTTCTCATTTTATTGTTTAGATGAACTGCTCTCCACAGAAACCTTAAATGGGTGTTTCAGTGTATCACAAATGTTTGAGAAGAGCCCAGCATATGTACAGTTTGTGTGCTGTACCTGTTACCTCAGGAGAATATTTCAGCCCATGAAGGAGGAGAAAACCACATAATGAGGAGCTTCTTAATTTTTATTCCCCACCAACTATTATTGGCATGATCAAAAGGATACATTTGAGAGATCAGAAATATAAACATGACAGGAAAAATCATTTGGAAGAGCTAGGAATAGATGGGCGGATAACATTTTAAATGGGACTTAAAGGGTTAGGGTGTGAATTATATTAATCTTTGCTGGAGAGTTAATCAGAGGCACTTGAGGCTGTGAGTGACCTTCCACCAGAGCAGTCTCTGCTATTTACAGATGCAGTTCAAGGCTTATAGTTCCCTGGCATTACCCAGTTCATATTAGTGTTGCAAACTCACTTTGAACAAGGTTTTAAAAATGCTTTATCTTGGATACCAGGTTGCCAGGGATGTTACTCTCGAGGGCAATTTGGTACCTGGTGTTTCAGATTTGGATTTCAGGACCACCTTCTGTCAGTCTGTTTTGGTCACATGGAAAGGGACTGGCAAAATATCCAGGGCAACAAACTAGGGGTTGTTGTCCCATCCATCCTGATGAGATCATGCTGATTTGGTACAAGCTGACCACACCTGTTTTTCACAGTCCACCTTCTATGTATCCCCCCAATACATCATCATCCGTGAATAGCTTCACCTGCCATGAACTTTTATGGAAGTATTTTGAGGGTATCCTGACCCAAGTTTCGGCTTTTGGATTAGTTACTGATATGGATCATGTAAGTAAAAAATAAGTAAAGGTATCCCTGTAACAGTCCATGGATGCCCATAGGGATGTGAGATGTTGAGGTTCCCTCGTTTTCTAGATAGTCGGTTCGCAGATGGTGGTAAGGTTGTCAACACTGGCCTCCCTTTACCCCCAAGAATATTCCTGGTACTCATTTCTGTTAGAGGCTGAGTCGACCCCAGGGCCATAGTGCAGCTGGAAAGATTAGATCAATTGAAAGAAATCCAGTGACCTCATCGGGATTCAAACCCACAATCTTCCGGCTTGTAGCATAGTAGTCTATAACTACAGAATACACATGACCATCACACAATTACAACAATGCACTCATCTCCACTTTCACATATGCAGCAGCGGTTTCTAAAAGTTTTTCATCTGGCATTGGTGGTTAGGTTTCTTTGTATTATTTTGTGAGGTGAGGATATTAGCCTCATGCTCAACCCCAAACCTGAAGGACCAGGGGCTACCCTCATCTAGTCCTTACCATTTGTCCTGTCTTGCATGGGTGACTACCAGGAGCTTACACACCCACTAGCATAGTTCAGAGTGATCAGTACACAGACCACTTCACCACAGTAAGGTAGTAACCCAGGACAAAGGTCCCATAACCATACACTGTATTCTTTGCTGTTGACGGCAGTGTTCAATAAACTGTAAATAAATCAAATCAGTCTGCTTGAGAAGGATGAACAATTGTGATGATGTGCAGTGGACTAACCCTGTAGATTTCTTTGCTTATAGTTTCTGGGGAATCTTTTTCTGTTCCCACACAGTACTCTGGAATGGTAACCACCTACTAGATCATCATTGTTATAGGCCAGAAGATAACAGTCTAAGTGTTCACCTCTATGAAGGACATTGTCCTCACAAATGATAAGACGATTTTTCAGCATATAAAATAATGATGAAAACTGTGACTCGTCATTTTGTATCTGGAGTGGATGGTCCAATGAATGTTATAGGGTTAATGAAACAAACGAAAAATAAGTCACTCACTCATGGAACTGAGCCCTTCTTGAGACCCTCCCAACTGTGCAGCTACTCAAGAACTTCCCAGCATTTTATGGAACCCCGAGGCTCATTACTGTTTTTGCAAGAGCCCCCCACTGGTCCCTATCCTGAGCCAGATTAATCAAATTCATTTTAATATTGTCCACCCATCTACATCTTGGTCTTCCCAGTGGTCTCCTTCTGGCTTTCTCACCATATCCTATATGCATTCCTCTTCTCTCCCATTCATGTTACATGCCCTGCCCATCTCATCCACCTTGACTTGATCATTCTAATTATACTTGGTAAAGGCTACAAATTAAAAAGCTCCTCATTGTGCAGTTTTCTCTAACCTCCTGTCACTTCGTCCCTCTTCAAACCAAATATTCTCCTCAGTACCCTGTTCTCAAACACCTTCAGTCTGTGTTCCTCCCTTAATGTCACAGACCCAGTTTCACACCCATACAGAACCACAGGCAAAATTATAGCTTTGTGTATTCTAATTTTTATACAGCAGACGACAAGAAAAAAGGTTCTGGACTGAATGGTAGCAAGCATTATCTGAGTTCAATCTCCTCTTAATTTCCTCCTGAATTGGGTTTTGATTTGTTATAGTTGTTCCCAAATATGTGAACTGCTGCATTTTCAAGACATCTGTTACCTATCTTTATGCCATGAATCTCCATTTATTTCACTTGGATCCTGTAACCACTGCATTTTGGCTTGTTTCCTTTGGTCTGATAATTTTGAGCATCCTTTGTAGGACCATGGCTTATGCTTCTTTAGTTTGTAATAACCTAGACACTCTTTGGCAGAAATTTTGATATTCTCTGATAGTTTTCCAAAGCTGCGAACCTATTTTAGATTTCAACACAATAGTGCTCCTCACCCTCTACCTTGTTTAATTCCTTGAGATTGAACCTCTCCATATGAATTCTCTGCGTTGTTTGCTTACTCACTGCCAGTCTTTCTGTAACCTTTGCCACCGCCAGGTAGTGGTCATTGTCACAGCCTGCTGGCTGGAATGATCGGACATCAAGTACACTTGAATGCCACCTCCTGTCTATAAAAATATGGTCAATTTGATTGTGTGTCTTCCCATCAGGACATGTCCAAGTACATTTATGAATGTTACGATGTGGGGACATTGTACTTTTGACTGTAAAATTTTCTAATGTGGCAAAGTTTACTACTCCATTATGATTATTAATTTCGTGCAAACTCTCATTTGCAATCGTTGGTTTGAAAATACTTGTATCTTCCATAGATACTTTGGCATGAACATTCAGAATGATGACATCATACCAGCAACCTCTTAGTATTATGTATGACATCCTGTCACTAATGAACTCTACCCTCCTATATATGAAAAAACCTGTTCCTAATTCATGATTTTCATTCCCCTTTGCATAGAAAAATGTGTACTTGCCTGCTGATTCAGTGCCACCTTCCCCCCATCTGACCGGTACTCCCACTAAATCAATCCTGTATTTTGAGATTTCTTCCAACACTGCCCTGAGTGAACCTGCCCTATACATACTTCTAACATTCCAAGTACCAAATCTCAGGTCCAAGGCTTCTTAAAAATTTTTGTAACAAGCTTATGTTTTACTGTGAGGAGTTGTTAGCCCCACACCCAACCCCTGGGCTGTAGGACCGCCCCTTTTCGGCTGTCCACTACTGCTTATTCATATATTCGCAGGTATCCTCCATATTTGGAGGGCGTCTCCTCTATCCACAGCCTGAGGAAGCACCATGCTGTGGTGACAAGGGACCCACCTAACATGGGATGGAAAAACAAGTTCTGACTGTAAAGTGATTAGTTTTGCAACAGTAAAAGTGTATTAAAGAGTGAACATTAACAGCAATGAGACAAGCTTACAAAAAGAAGGGTGGAGGGGAAGAAAGCAGTGAAATCCCATTTTAATGAGTCTCTGGGGGAATGGCTTTTATTACACTAAATCAGCTTTTTCACAAAATGGGGATTATTCAGAATTATATCAGGAAACATTTCATCTTATAAAATGTATAAAATTATGATAAATTAATGACATATGAAATAAACAGAATGGTTGTTTAATAATGATTTACAACAGATGGAAAACAAGAACGTGTTTTGCTTCAGCTACAGTCTGCTAAATTGAGTTACGTATTCTAAAAGGCTGGAAATTTTGTACAGTAGATTTGAGTTGAAATTCACTAAAATAATAATACAGTAGAGGGGCACTGTGCTACAAGCCAGAAGGTCACGCATTTGATTCCCAGTGTCATTGGATTTGTCAGTTGATCTAATCCTTCCAGCCACACTATGGCCATGGCGTTGACTCAGCCTCTAACAGAAATGTGTACCAGAAATCTTCCTGGGGGTAAAGGGCTGCTGGTGCATAAGGCTGACCGCCTCACTGCCATCTGTGAGCTGATTGTCTAGAAAATGTTGGAGCCTTTATGTCTCACAGCCTGTTATAGGGATAGCCTCTGTTATCCAGCTTGTATGGGAAATGGGGTGTACCAGTTGCATGAGGTAAACTCAGTTCTCTTGCAGTTTTCACCCTTTTCTGTTCCTGTAACATTTCCATTTTCAGTTTGTTTTGGTATTATCTTAGACAGTGAAGTGGATTGATAGGTGAAAGATTTTGGATATACTATAATGGCAGCTGAGAGAAGTGCCAGGCATGTCATGGCTCTGTTCCAGAATTAACTTATACAGTAGTAAATTTTACTTGGAACTTTTTTCCCATTTGCATAAGAATTCTGGATGTTTACTGTACATTGTTCATATTGGGCTTTGGATGGGACGAGAAAAATATTTTCTAAGTATGAGACTTCACTGTATGTTTATTCATTGGGGCACTGTGATTCACAAGTGTTTCATTCTGACGTTACAGACATGTGTTTGGTTTGTTCACAGATTATCTGCAGAGACAGTGAACACTTGATAACCGCTTGAAGCAGGAGAGAAGATAGATGGAATGAAATGTCAAGAAGTGGGGCGTCTACAGTTGCTGGAAGCAAGCATGGTATGAAATTAATCTGTGAATTATTGTAATTGTTTCCTAAGTAGATTCTGAAAGAGTAGATGTTATGTCCCCCCCCCTCACCTGATGGAAACAGATCCAGTTTCTGAAATATGTTCTCTAGTTTTTAGAATACTGGACGTTGGACAAAGACCAAAAACTCAGTAATTCTGAATTTGTTTTCTGTCCAAATGGCATTGCTAATTCAAAATTTGGAACATTTGTGTTGAAATATTCTCTGGCTGCATAATAGTGATGTTACTGGAATAGTTTTCTGAGGGAGAAATGGCCTTTATATAGAGTCTGTAGTGGATTTTTATTATTTTAATGGTTTGTTCAACCATATCAGAAGCTCAGACAACATAGAATAACCAGGCAGTAACAGATTCAGTATTTCATTCAAACCTCAGCTGGGATACTGACTGTCTTGACTGAGGTTTTCAACATTTTTCAGTTACTGACCCTACCATTAGATGCTGTATAGTTTAAAAGCAACAGGCAGTGTCATTAAATAAACAATGTAAAATGGTAGGATAGTGAATTATGAATCGGAAGGGATGTGGAAGCCATTTGCCTAAAATTACTAGACTAGGAATTGCGAAAAATCACAAAATTGAACCTAGTCCCTTTTGAAGAGGAAGCAGGCATGCTAAGTGCACAGTGTAACCATATCTACACAAGCAGTCAGGAACAAGTTCTCCGTATTAGATGTGTGCCTTACACTTGTGTCAGTCATGCTGATATGTCAATTGAATATTTAGCAGTGCGGCACTGGAATGGTTGTAGCTGTGATCTGTTTTAAGGGATGGGCTGAGGAGAAATGTCTTAGACTTTATAGTCAGTGATTGAGTAAATTAAGACTGATTTTCATTGGTCCAGTCTTAGATAAATTTTGGCTGAATTATCTATCATGTCTGTTTTACTTAGGTTGGTACGAGTATGTCCTGTGAAACAGTATGATCTAAAAAAGCCTCTGATCTATGGTAAATTGGGATTTACATATTAAAGGGAATGAAAGCACAAAATGTGTATTGGTAATGTTTTTATTTTTGCATTACAGGAGTGTATTTAAAGATGACAGTGTTCCATAGCAACTTCTTGCCCCCCCCATGAGGGATGTGTTTGATGAATATAAGTCAGTCAAGATGGGGAGGGGGGCAAGAAGTTGCTACTGAAAATATTCTGTTCTAATATTGTTTTGTTTGTTCACAGGTTGGGGAGAGCACAGTGGCAAGTAAGGACAGCTATGCACTGGAGAGGGCATGTGCACAGGCTCATCAAAAAATGGTGTGTTATGAGATAGTGCGCATAATGGGCTTCAACAGCAACACATTACAACATATAGTGTGAGTAGTCTTTTATTCCTTGCATACCGTTACAAAAATACATCACTCAAGTTATTGCTTTGTATAAAGCCATGCAAATATAACTTCATTTCATCATTCAAAATTACTATGTGTACATAGTTAACAGTTGCAATAAGGCCAAGAACAATGTATAATGAATTGTACAAGCATTTGTTGTTAGCAAATGATGCACTTTATCATGCTGATGAGATTTGAAGTTCACATTGCGCACTATCTCGAAACGCACGATTTTTCATCATGCCTGTGCACATATCCTCTGCAGCTCTTATGCTCTGATACTTCTCAAAGTCCTCCTGCAAAGAAAAATAAAAACCAGTGTTAATTTTCAACATAATCTTTAAACGAACATGCAGAAATATTAGAGTGAACTTGACATTTACACACAAAAAAATATAGAAGTTGGGATTGAACCTAAGACCTTGTGAATGCTAGGCTACAGTGCTAACCTCTAGGCCACCAAGGCAGCCTGGCAGTTGTTCCTCTTAGAACTACACTTAAATTGTTTTTCTTTTGTTCTAGAGGGAGCCAAATGTATCAGCTTGCTTCCCGGATGAATGATCTCATCACTGCCAACTCTGTTTCTTAGTGATCCTGTTCTCTTCCTTGTGGATCGCTTCTGCTTTATCCCATTGTATTCTGTGGTTTGCATACAATACATTGGGGATAAAGCAGAAATAACCCAGTGATCCTGTTTTCTTCTTTGTGTACTATTTCTGCTTCATCCCATTGTATTCTGTGCAGACCACAGAATACAATGGGATAAAGCAGAAATAGTCCACAAAGAAGAAAACAAGCATCACTACAGACAACAGCAGGCAACCAAGCTGATGCATGAGCTCCATTAGAACAAGAGGAACACAACTTAAGTACAGTAATAAAAAAGGAACAATTGCCAGACTGCCTTGGTCTAGAGGTTAGCACTGCAGCTTAGTATTCACAAGGTCTCAGGTTCAATCCTAACTGTCTTCACTAATATCAAAACAAAAAATTAATTTTTCAGCAGAGAATGTTAAATCAAAAATATTCATGAATACAATTTTAATTTCTGTATAAATAAAAGTAAACATCAGAACTTATTGTAATTATAAATTTAAGTCTTCACCTATCTGCCATAACTCCATATCCTGACATTACCCAGCATCTCTAACTACACATCAAGGAAAGACAGCTCTACCACTGATGCAGTATGAATTAGACATTACTTCCATGTCTGTATGTTTCTGTATATGTGATGTGACACCATGTAGTCTGGTAGAAGTTTACAGACATTTCACAGGATTCTTCAGGATCACAGAGGAACCTTTGAAGATGAATGGAGTATGTTCCTCAATAGTCTGTAAACCTTTATCATGTTACATCACTGCATCCCAGAAGATAATACCTTCCATGTCTCTCTGGGGGGGGGGGTTTATAACTGAAGTGTATTCAAATTTAGTGTTCTCATGGTCAAAACAACAATATTCATGCTTTCTACCAGTTTTCCCCATGTCATTGTTTTAGATTTTTTTTTTCGTGATTATATTAATAAGCACATCCAAGAAAATAAAAATATTTCTTGATATAATTTTGCATAACCACCATTTACTGTAAGAAATGCCATTCCCCAGAGATCCATTAAATCAGGATTTTTCTGTATGAACAGAAATAAAGGAAACTACAATTGTGAACTTGATCCATTTCAAATCAACGCATGGGACATCAAATACAGATAAAACTGTCACAAACCAAATCTCAGCACTGCTCCCACCTTGCCTTTCTTTATGTGCAGTTGTCCTAACATCTCCCTGGTTACCCCTCAGAACACATGTGAGAAAGTAGGCCTGGCATCCCACTACTGACTGGCTCGGATTCTACTGCAGAGTTCCTAGTGTCTTATGGTTCAAATCAGCCATGGTGATTTGATCAGATATCTGTACTAACCTTTGTTTGGGGTCTGCGCCTTTGATGACGAGAAGTACATGCTGTGACAGGTGCCTCTGGTCGTGGGGCTTCTTGATAGTATGCAGTTAAAGGGGTGAATGGTACTAGATCACTCAGAGACAGCAGACATCCGGGAACAGCTCTTCCTTTACTGCTTCCACTCCAGGACTGGAAATAAAGAGTAACAATTATACAGTGCCTTACAGTCTCAAACTTCTAACACTATTATTAGTGTTGATAATTTGTGTAATTTCTATAATCATAGGGAAGTTTTTAAGTAATGAATGGTGCCCCTGCCTGTAAGCACACCATGAAAGTACATGGACACATATTCTTGACTGAATACTACAAAGACATCAGTGATCAGCATGATGATCCAGCCAGAACTTTCTGCACTACAACCCTAATGAGACTGCATTAAGTTAAAGGGATCTGCCCCGTTATATTTACATGAAGGCCATTAATTTCTGTTTCAGAGGATACAAGATATCACACCTACATTTTCTAGAACTTACACATACTGCATCTACCTTCAGAGTTGATCCTGGAGACTGAGTCAGTATGTACCTGCAGAATATCAGCAGTATTGCCCACGTCCACAGGGATTAACAACCCAAGAACAGAATTAACCATCGTGAAAGTCTAAAATCAGTAAAACTTGCATAGTCTACCAGGAACAGTTTATCTCATTGCATTTTACATATCCTGAAACCACGTTTGATTAAATGAATATTTTAAAAATAAATATGGACCGAATATTATTGTCAAGCGACTGACACTCCTGCTGTGAATTCTGGAGACTCCAGATTCAAGCCTTAGTTAAGATGCACACTATCCTCACTGAAGTTTCTCAGAGCTTCCCCAAGTCCTTCAAAGCACATGATGAATAGCATTTAAAAATCAGCCATAACCACTTCCTTATAATTCAAACCATCCTATCATACAATGTTCTATAACTATGCTGTTATTAAAGCATCATTAAACAGCTCAATAACTGAGCAGCATTATTTAACGATACACGACTTTAGTGCTCACTGTTACTATGTAGCTGGAGAGGTGAATGGCCTGCTTCTCCCTTACTCTGAAGCTGAAGAGCTCTTACTCATTTGTATGCACTGTGGTGGACTTTGTGGTGCAGAGGGCCATGATACACAACATCAAGGCCATCACAATTGAAATTTAAAATTGAAAATGACATAGTTACGGACACCATGCACAGATGGCAGCACCAGCCAAAGCCAATTTGATATCTTCAATATTATGGCTAAATTCAAGATCAATTTCCAATCTATCAGACAATATGCTCAGTTTAAGATCAATTTCCAATCTATCAGACAATATGCTCAGTTTATTTAGGAAGTGACCTGAGAGAGAATGGAAGAAAATAAAGTTTTGGACAGTCCCGTCATCCAAAATGAAGGGCAAACTCATACATTCTGAGACATATGATTATTAAATAGGGAGTCAGTATAGATGTACCCGAGGATATGTAGTTAGAAAATTTGACGTAACAGCTTAATTTGGAACAATTTAAAAGACATTAGGAATATGTTTCACGCTAAAAATGTATTTCAACACTTTTTATGTTAAAAATCATTACATATCAATAGGACATTAAAAGCACATTCTATACATTAAAAGTGATTATCCAGTTTTCTAAAATGTCTTTAGTCATACAGTGGAACCTCGCTTAATGAGCATAATTCGTTCCAGAATCTTACTTGTTAAGCGAAACAATTTTTCCCATATAAATTAATGTAAAATACGATAATGCGTTCCATGCCAAAAAAAAAAGTACTAAAGAAATTTTATGTATAATGTTTATTCAAAGAACATTATATGTATATTGTTAAGGAGCGTGAATCATCATCTTTTCTTCTATGCGGAATAAACCAACCTGGAATGCGAATTCGATTTGCAGGAAACAAAAAAAAAATAGAAATTAGTTTATTATTTATGGTACATATCTAATTCTTTTTTATTAGAAAGCTGTCTAGAGACATTTGTTTTTGCTGACACTTCAAAATTTGGTGAAAATGTGACACAGCATTATGATTAAATAAATTTGTAGAGCGCATAGCCACTGCCTTATTAGGGTGATGCTTCTCAATGTACGATGCAACAGTTTCCCATGCTTTCAGCATTTCTCTTATTGCATCAGAAGACTGTTGCTTTGCTGTTACCTTCTCCTCCTCCACAACTTGCTGTGAAACACAATGCAACTCCATAAGCTCTTCAGTGGTAGCTCTTGGCTTGCCCGTCCACAAGCTCATCGATATCATTATCAACCTCCAGCCCCAAGATCTTGGCCAAAGTCACATTTGACAACATTCTCCGGCCGTTGATGATCCTGGCGTCTTCTTAACGAGGTCAGCAAAAATCACTTTCGCTTTCTCATAAATGATGTTCTCGTTAATAGTGTCGCCTTGCAATTGCCTTTCGTTTATCCATATGAGGAGCAACCTTTCAACATTGTCGAGAATATGTAACTGTTACGTAGATATTCTTGTCACTCTCTTTGAAGCACCTATCTCCTTAATCTTGTCCTTGTTCTTGAGGATAGTGCAACTCGATGTAGACCGATTGTATGTGCGTGCTAGATCAGCCACACTCACCTCGTTCTCGCTTTTCAATGATTTTACGTTTCTGCGGATTTTTCTTCGGGGACATTTTTGCAAGGGTTATGAAATTTTGCACAAAAAAAAATCACAAATAATATGTCTGAACACAAGTTTGGAAAAATGTGTGATCACAAGCGACACTAAGATGCTAGCGGAACGAGTGCTAAACACAGACTGATGTAGCAAGCGCACAATCCGGGACTTCCCCTCTCGTCACTCATTAAGCAAGTAATTTTTTTTACAATTTGTTTTGCTCGTTGTGCAAATTACTTGTTATGAGAGGTGCTCGTTAAGTGAGGTTCTACTGTATATTTCTTCTAGTTCTCAACATATTTCAGCCACATGGGCGAGGTACACAGGTAGACCATACTAGTGATACATGTGACACAAAAACTATGACAGCTGCAATACAGTGCAACGATGGCATTCTGATCATAATATAGAGCTAAATATTAATATTCATGGAAGCACCGTGAAGAAGTATACAGTGCAGTGGTCTCCCCAAAAGAAGGGAAATTACCTGATGGTATGCCATGTGGCTGACTTGCTCAGTTCTGGTGATGTACTTGAGATCTTACCTTGGGCTATATGCCTACAGATCCCAGAAATTGGACTTCAGTTTTGAAAAATGCTTAAATTATATCAATTATTCCTTGGTAACTCTTCTAAGACAATAAATTATGCTACTCTTTTTGTCTTTTTACCATTTACTAAAATAATGACCAACCACCTGAGCATGGTACCTCATCAAACCCTTGGCTCGAATGTCCTGTATCAAAAAGTTTTATTTCCCCTACAATTTTTAAAGATAACCAAATGAAAAACTATGACCTATGCAATGCTTACCTTTCAAAGAAAGGCTTCTCACATATGGTGCATAGCTGAAGGAGTGGACAGAGATGAAGATACAGTGGTCTTCAGCTCACTCAAAAACTCTATAACCTTCATCGGTGGGCACAGCAATTTCTTCCCATAAATTTCTCCAGGACTGTCAACAAATACTCATGATACCTAACACAATAATATATTACATTTGTTACATTTTGTTCAGGGAACAAATAAACACTTTAAATAAAACCCCTTTGTTAAAAGTATCTTATGAAATCAATATGCTAACTCAAGTTGAATAATTTTGAATTTCCATTTAACACAGGCCTACCCTATAATTACAATCTGATATGACACATATCTTTACTACATGGGCTCTTCATACATGATATGCAATGATGGGAGGGGTCTCAACCCCGTGTCTGACTTGAGTTCCCTACAGATGACAAGTGGCGGAAGGGGTGACTTTCTGGGTGTTTCCTCCTCCTCCTCCAAATTTGATGAAACTTCATTATCTGGAGCAATAGTTTCTTTACTCGTGCCTATATAGGCTTGTTAACTGACAAACAATTATATGAAACCTTAAACACTGCACACTGCTGCAACCCAGCAACAGTGTTGGCTACTATCTGTCTACTGCATACAAGACAAACCACACACAAACTCTTCAATGACAGGATGTAACCTAAAGAGTATGTTTACTAGTCTTGGCTTTCAATTTGTAAGATCATATAATGTTCAATAATATATGAATTGACAAGGACGTGAAAAGAAATGGTCAGAGGAAAACTTGAGGGCACTACCTTGGCACTGTCTGTTGGAAGGAGTAAAACATGAAAAACCTCAGTAAGAATAGACTGCACTGATCACTGAACTGAGACCTGAGCCCAGAATGTACTGATAAAAATCAGGACTGGTATGCACTTGGCCAGAATGTTCTGTTCCAAAAAAGTATCAAAATTAAGGTAGACAGACAGACACTGTACTTGTATTCATATATATGTACATTTTGTAAGCAAAGGGAAAGACTGACCAGGATTTTCTGAACACTCTTTGAAGACAGATAACTGTGACAGTACCCTACATCTTAGAAGTCAGATCCAACTGGCTGTCTTTGTAGTTGACCAGATTTCTAGACAAGACAGTTCAACCCCTATCAGCAGAGAATGAATGTAAGTAGGTGGATGCATATTGACATTCATCAGTGGCATGTCAAATTTATTAACAGAATTAATTTTGAGATGTTATAAACATTCACTTTCCATCATTACATACTGCATCTTATGCCAATTTTGCATCAATTATTCTTATAAGACAGGCTCGATTTTGGTCAACAAATTAAAGCAGACCAAATCACAAGAGAAAATATTTGAGGCACAGAAGTCATCATAATTAGCACCAATGGATGAGTATTGACTCCATATACTACAAACAGAGGAATGAGGAGAGCACATAAAATTATGGCCAAAAAATCTCAAGGTAAAAGCCACATAGGAAACATGGGCATTTATGGGTGCATAATATCAAAATGGAACTTAAAGAAATTACATATGAAAGTGGGGGTTACAATGAACTGATTCAGGATAGGATCCAATGATGGTCATTTACAAATACAGTACCTTTGGATTCTACAAAAAAAAAAAAAATGGAATCATGTTACTACCCAGCTGAATGACTATCAATTTCTCAAGTTCACACTGAACATCAGACTAGTTCTGATTACTGTCATAACTGAAGCCACTACATTTTTCTCTTTATCAAGTTATTTTCTGTCACTCTGATGACCTGTTCACACCTTTTTTACAGCATTTTCCTTAGGAATGGGGCCAGGTTTGGTTGGCCTGGCAATGGTGAACGGGGAATTACTTCCAAAACAGCTTTCTAAGATATTTACCACTCCTACGCCAAAAGTAAATAATGGTGAGGAGCTGGTTTAAAATTAAATTGGTATGAGATTCTTTCCGATTTACCGATAAAGCGCATGACAATGCAGTTCAACCACAAATCAATTAGTTTATTGTGGAATCGTTTTACTGAAATACAGAAGCCAGCCATTTCACATGTACCGTGCATTCAATCTAACTCCACCCTTTCGTTAACCACACAGCAACTGTAACACGGCCATATTCTCTACTTCATAATTTTTCTTAGGAACCAAAATTTTAAAAATTCTTATGGGCTATCAAACACGTGTGCCCATATAATATTCGCACTCTCCCTTACCTGCAAAATATTTTTCTGCACATTTTCCGGCGTATTAAGGTCATTGTAAAAAGCAAAGAATTCCATAACTTTTATACTTTCTCTAACACGTGCTCAACTCCAACACGCCTTCAATCTCAAAATGTCTGCCGCGTACAATTTTCCTGTTCAATCCTATTGGCTATGATTCTACCACAGATTATAAAATAGTTACTAACACGATCAATAAAAGCTTGGCTAAAACCAAGGATTATACTACAATTATTCACGACCTTTAATTTAAACTTTTATAGTTGTTATGGGTTGGTGTTTGATACAAGTTTTATGAATATTCGTTTGTCGAAATTTAAAATGACTCAATAGCCATAAACCTATCATTCGATAATTTCACAAAACTGTCTTCCATGGATCACATAAAGTAGTCATCATTATGAACGATCATCAAAGTGATTATAGTACGTTGTTGCATATACATGATCCATGACAGGAAAAGTACCACAATGGCGTCGTCATTGGAAAATTTAGAAACTCAACTGGAACTGTTTATTGAAAATGTTCGACAGATCAGGATAATTGTGGGTGATTTTCAACCTCAGGGTCAAAATGTATTAAATCAAAAGATGTACGTATTTTGACTCGATTTTATTCAACTATGAGGTGAAGGAAATTGAATGCGATTTCAGTGTTGTAACAAACTCTTGATGTTTGAAGTACAGTTTCTTCTCATTAGTTGTTGGTCTTGCTTTTGATGTGTTTTAATTTTTTTTTTTTCCCAGTCAGGCACTTGTTCACGGGCTTCAGGAGGTTGATAAATTGAAATCTCAAGTTCAGGAAGTACATGTACCTTTGGAAGTTTTTGAGTAAGTACAGCAGCATGGCCTTTATTTGTTATAAATTAGAATTTAATTGTATAATGATATATGTCTCATTTTTACTTTATATGACAATGTGTAAAATTGGTCACAATTCTGAAGTGTCAGCCAGATTTATATACCCCCCTAAGAGCCAAACATTACGTGACAAACAAGATAACACAGAACAATGAGGCCCAACAAAATAACTGAAAAGTTTACGGTTTCTGTTTATAACGGCTGTAACAGCAATTCATAATGTGCCTCAGATTCATTCATAACAGAGTGCACACAAGTTCCTTCCATGGGATTTCCCTAAGCAGCATTTTTATCCTATCCTGTTTCCTGACCAACAAAGTTATGAATCCCCTCACATAATTTTTCTCATTTGTCACTACTGCAGCTTGCTTTATGCATGTATTCTCTTCAACACTTTGATCTTGTTATCAAAAGCATCCCCTGTCACTGTTCTTCCTGCAGAATGAACAAATATATATATGTATGTAATATATTTTTCTTTTCAGCTATATTGATCAAGGCCGAAATCCTCAATTGTACACTAAAGACTGCATTGAGAAGGCACTGACCAAGAATGAGCAGGTGAAGGGAAAGATAGATGCTTATAGGAAGTTCAAAGCACACCTACTTGTCGAACTGAACAGTGTTTTTCCAAATGAACTGACAAAGTACCGTGCCATCAGGGGAGATGAACGTCCTCTTACTTAAAACCTGCTTGTGAATATTGTGACATTGCATAAGGATATTTTTATTATTATTATTATAATGATTATTGTTTTGATGTATGTTATGGGCTGACTTGTAATTTGCTATATAGTGTATATGGTACATACAAGTTATATTATTATTCAGATTTTCATGCGTTCTTTATATTAAATTACATCTGTAGTTATTGTATCCCCCACCACACAACTCCTGTGGTACTCTACCCAATCTGCTTTAAGCTATGTCAATTTTTATGAGGTTGAGTGGCTCCTAGAATTTCTCAAATAAATTCAGTCTGTGTTCTCCCCTTAATTCCTGGGATCAACTTTCACACCCATAAGAAAATGTAGGCAAAATTACATCTATATTTTAATTTTTACATTTTAAGGCAGCAGATGAGAAGACAAAAGGTTATGAACTGAATGGTAGCGTTACCTGACATTAATCTGATTTTAATTTCCCCATTAATAAAATTTTGATTTGTTACTGTCAGTTCCAAATACTTGAACTTTTCCATATTTTTGAAGGATAACTTAGTTATGTGTTACGATTTTGCCCTGCATTATGGTGATAGAGATATTAACATATACTTTTGCTTTCTCTGTGCTTGCTCTTAGACCTGCATCATTAATTAATATCATTTATAGTTTCTGTTTTTCTTTATGGTGGTCTTTGTTATATCCTAATGGAATTACATCAGCAGCTAATGTATCCCATTTAATTTCAGTCCCACCCAGTTTTCTTGGACCTTCATAATGGCATATTCTAAAGCAATCATAAGACATCTTGCTTTAGACCATTCTGAATAGGAACTGTATCAGACAAATGTTTATCTATACAGACTTTTACAGGTTCCATTTCAGCACATTTTATAAGCCTAAACAGTTTCATGGGTACCCAAAACTCAGTGAAAATATTGTACAATTCTTCCCTCCTAACTGAATCATAGGCTTTCTTGAAGTCTATGATTTACTGTCTCGTTGCACTCACATTTTTTCTTCAGCGTTTGACGAGCGCAGAAATACAATCAGTAGTTTACAACAGAAGGACCAGGCTCAGATACTAATTTTTAAGCTGTATTTATTTCCATATGCCTAGCAACATTAACCCTGTATACATTCAGTAGCCAAGGGAAGTAATTCTTCCACCTGTTTGAAATACTGTGAAAATCTTCAAGCAGATCACCATTCTCATCCTTTACCAAGTTTGTTCTAGGTTGGTAACCCTTCTTAAATTCATTTATTCCTATACATAAATATCTAATTCTCTTGTTCTTACTGTGACTCTGAAGACTCACAGATCCACCAGACAGTAAAATTAGGTCATGAGTCCCATGGAACTTGGAACTAAGAATCACAGTGTTGGTGATGGCCTGCAGCAATTTATCAGTCAGTCAGATCTTCCTGTGTGTTACAAGCTCATTATTTTTGTCTTTTAGATATACCCTCTTATTATTCCTGAAATGTCTGCAAGTTTCACTTCTTACACTGTTCGCATTGTCCCATTTATTAGATTTGGAACTTGCAACCATTGCAGTTTAGTTTGTTTCCTTTGACCTAATAGTTATGAACACCCTTTGTTGAACCCTGGCTTATACTGCTTCAGTTCATAATAACACAGATTCGTTTTGGTTGAAAATTTGATATTCTGTATAATAGTTTCTAAAGCATTATTAATATCCACATCATCATCATCTAAGTTTTCCAAAGCTGTGAACCCATATAAGGTTCTATCAGGTACATTCAAATGAAATCTATTTATTTACATGGTCAATCTGTATCTTTCCATGAGGAAGTGTCCAAGTAAATTCATGGATATTGCAATGTGGGAACATTTGTACTCTTGACCATCAGATTTTTGGATGTGGCAAAGTTTACTACTCCATTATCATTATTAATTTTGTTTAACTTCATTCACAGTTATTTGAAAATCTGCTCTACCTACTGTGGCAGTGAAATCTAACATGTTCATGTGGTACTCAGGGAATACACATTCTAATTCCTCATAGAAACTGTCCTTTGGACCATGAATATTTAGAACAATGATACTGCACCACCAACCTCTTAGTACTACAAAAATCCTATCACCAGCAAACTCCACCCTTTTAGCTGCTGATATGATTCTCTTATGTACAAGAAATCCTGTCCCTAATTCATGATTCTCATTCCCCTTTCCATAGAAGAATTTATAATCACCTGCTGGTTCAATGCAACCCCTATCCCATCTGACCTCTTGTACTCTCACTAATTCTAACTTACACTTCACTATTTCTCTTTTGGCTGTTACCAGTGAACCTGCCCTATAATGACTCCTTACACATACCAAAACTCATGCCCATTTTCCTTAGCTAAGTTCATTTCAAAGAATCTGTCCGAGGTCCTACACAACCTTTCATTACAGACTGTACTTTTACAGCAAGGATTTCTTATCCCCAAGCTGGAGGACCATACCTTGTCCATGACTGCTTATTTAATACATTCAGCTACCCTCATATCTGGAGGCTGTCTCCTCTATCTGCAGTCTGAGGACATGCCATGCCATGTTGACATACAACTTGTATACTTTTTTAATTACATCAAAATGTGGAGAGTTGAACAATATATTTAAATATACAAGTAAAGAATTACTATTGTTGGATTATTTCAAAATAGCTATGTACTTTTATCTAACATCAGCACATATCATCTGTTTTGTATGGACCAGATTGGAAGAAACTGTAAATTAAGCTAATAAAGCTGATACAAAGGTAAAGCCAGAGTTGCCCTTGGACCTAAGGATCATGCCATGAGGGCATATTGGGAGAGAGGAAATAAAGCTTCATAGTAGATGAAGGTGAATGGTCAGCTTAAGATAGTCCACTTTACTTCCAATGAAAGAATCCATTTAACAATGAGCTGAACAGGTTCCAGACATGGTTGGTCTTATTGGGAATTAAACTTCTCATCCAGCACATGGTCAGTTTAATGGGTTAGCTGGTGACTCCTGTTCTTTGTTATCACTCAATAAGGCATGATGGGACCACAATGGGCATAGATAAAAGCTTCAGTCATGTCCAAAGTAAAAGATATATTGGGAAATCGTTACTACTCATCTTGCACTCCATAATTGTATCATTCAAATTCATTTTCTTCAGATTCCTTCTCCCACCTCTCAAATTTCTTGTTAACCGCCATGCTTTAGTCTGTCTCCTGTACCGTTGTCAGATTTTGTAAAATAAAAAAAGGAGTGATATCTCATTGCTTGTTTATAACGACATTTTTCACAACTAATAGGCTATAAAATATACATAATCAACATACTACATAACGTACAAAATGCTACTACACATCTGTATTACATAGGCCTACTACACATTTATAGAACAAAACAAATATTACATATCCCTATTACATATTTATAGAATGCACAAAATATTCTGCTTTGGTTTAGAACCTCAAGTGTTGCCAACATTCACGAAATGCAAGATAACGAAAGAAACTATAACAGTGTCATTTTCCAAGGATTACAGAAATTTTATGATAATATTTAACCCATGAAATATAATTCGCAATGGACTTAAATAAGGAAACGGAGAATTATCCACTCTAGGTAAACAATAAAAGGAGGAACAAAATTTGGGTGAAAAAAATGGAAGAATCCGGGGAAAATCTGGGAACCCTAGTCTCCTGTGTCTTTTGTGTAATACTGTCATGGGTTAGTGACTAGACACAGGATTCAGATTGAAAAATGAATTTATTGGATACTTATTACTCATAATTACAGATAATTACAACACTTACATTATTCTTCACTGATGATGGATGCCTTCCTCTGCCCAGGTTCCTACTCGTGACTTTTAGTCTCCTTCAGATTTCTATTGGTGACACATAAAACAGAATTCCTCTCGTTGCTCTTACACTGTTCTCTTGGTGAAGATGCCTGTTAGATGGCATCTATGATCTTGGCATCCCTTTTGCACTGTCTCTGAACAATTAACTGCATTTCCAAGCTCCTTATAATTACATCTTTCTTCAAGAGATCATTCTCTGCCTGTTATTGTTGGGCAAGTAATTTCACCTTGAGGCCACTTATGACTGCCACTTCTGCAGACATCACCATCTGTCTGCATCTGAGTGCAGTCATTAGGATCACCTTCTCCATGTCAGACATATCTTGTCTCAATGCTACTACTTTCAATTCCATGTTCATGGACTTGATCTTTACCATGGCAGCCCTTATTTTCATGATAAAAACAAGGAAGGTGAAATGGATGGGAATGCAGCATCCATAAAAGAGAAAAGAAACACAAAGTTTTGATTGGTAAACCTGAAGGAAAGAGACCATTACGAAAACCCAGGCACTGTTGGCTCAGGATAGGAATTAGTGAACACAGTAATGAAACTTCTGGTTCCATAAAACATGGAGAACTGAAGAGCAGAGCAACTATTACCTTCTCAAGATGGATTGTTCTCCATGGGCTCGGGTATTTCCAAAGAGTTTTGCCATATTTTCAAAGATTTCTTTATATTTTGATAATGTGTTGCATTCTGGCAACAAGACTTGAACATGTCTCTATGAATATTTCTCGATGAAATTCCTTACTAGGATCCAGTATTTTCTGTTTTTCTGTATGGTGTTTATGTTACTTGTGCACAAGATATCTCATTAAAATAAAATCCTATGTGGAAGTGAATTAGCTGAAGAGTTTTTAAATATGGTGCTCTAATTTTTAATTTCCAAAAAACAGAATCCACAAAGAGTGCTATATTATGCTTGCTGCCTGCTTCTTGCTTGTTACACGCTTGACTTAGTCTTCAAATCTAAAGACAGGGTCAGTATATTTCTCAAAAACATGAACTTCTACTAGATTACATTGCAACACATCCATGAGTATTCTTCACAGTTATTCCCATGAAAACCTCAAATCCAGTAACAATAAGAATGACATACAGGACAAAATTCAACAGGTTTTCTCACCCTGTACACATGCACAAAGCAACATTCAGTACATGTTTGCAGTGTTTAAAAAATATCACCATGAAAGTGATCCTCTTTAACTCTCTCACTGCCAAGTTCTGCCATAGAACTGCCTGCTACAAATGCTGCTCTGGGAAAATACAGTTGTCCTCCCTACCCAAAAAAGAGCTGATGTAATGCTGATGAACATGTGACAGTACATGTACCTTTGCAAACGGGTTCCTCGTGGTTGGTGTGCAATGGGAAGGTGCTTAGTCGAAAGTCCTTCATCACTTGGAACAGCGACTTTTCAGCTAATGCCACCCACTCCAACCCTACAGTTTGGAATTTTTTTGTCACATAACAGATGACTTGTTAACCTTGAAACTTTCATAGAAATGCGTTATGACATGACCGTAGAAATTTAATAATAGTCTCTCATCCTCAGTTTATAAATACTATATTCCAAATGTAACAGGCACATTCACAACAGAGACTATAAGTACCTGCTATGCAGAAGGATAAATCCTTCAGGAAAGTTGGAAAGCTTCTTCACCTTCAGAAATAGCAGTTTCTTCACTGGTAGGACCATGGCCTGTCGACAAGGAAAATCAACTATGAAGATATTGAGAGGACTTCCAACATTTTTTACTTCAAAATGTTTAAAGCTTTATTGCCACTGCTTTTCAGTTGCTTTAGAATATGCCATTAGGAAGGTCCGGGAAAACCAGGTGGGACTGAAATTAAATGGGACACATCAGCTGCTGGTCTATGCTAATGATGTGAATCTACTGGGTGATAACACAGAAACTCTGATGCTAGTAAGGAGGTTGGTCTAGAAGTAAACGCAGAGAAAACTAAGTATATGTTGCCGTCTCATCACCAGAATGCATGGCAAAATCATGACATAAAGATAGCTAGCAAATGTTTAAAAAATACGGCATAGTTCAGATATATAGGAATGACAGTGACAAATCAAAATTTGATTCCAGAGGAAATTAGGAGACTGATTTCAGGTAATGCTTGCCACCATTCAGTTCAGAACCTTTTATCTTCTCATCTGCTGTCTAAACACATAAAAATGAAAACATACAACATTATAATTTTGCCTGTTGTTCTGTAAGGGTGTGAAACTTGGTCTGTGACATTAAGGGAAGAACCCAGACTGAGAGTGTTTGAGAACAGGGTGCTGAGAATGTTTGGACTGAAGAAAGATGAAGTGACAGGAGGTTGGAGAAAACTGCATTAGGAGATTCTGGTACTCTGTGCCAAGTATATTTAGAATGATGAAGTCAAGGAAGATGAGATGGGTAGGTCATGTAGCATGAATGAGGGCAAAGGCGAATGCATATAGGGCATTGGTGGGGAAGCCAGAAGGAAAGAAACCACTACAATGACCAAGACATAGGTGGGTGGACAATATTAAAATGGATCTTAGAGAGGTAGGATGGTGTGGTATGGACTTGATAGATCTGGCTCAGGATAGGGATCAGTGGAGGGCTCTTGTGAACACGTTAATGAACCTTCAGGTTCCATAAATTGCTGGGAATTCTTGAGTGGTGGCGCAAATGGCAGCTCCTCAAGAAGGGCTCAGATCTACAAAAATTAGTTAGCTAGTTAATTAGTTAGTTAGTAATAATACGATTTGGATTCCCCAACCACGCTATGTTTCAGGATACTTTTTACTCCATACTGTCCCTTCCAGGTTAGGTTTCAGGGTAATTTATTAGATTTGGGATGAGGCGAAGCCATATTCTGTACTTTTTTCATGAAAATTTAACTGAAGTATGCTCCTTAAATGTACATGTTTATTTATGGTTTCTTTAAAGTCTTCAATAGCTAAGATTATATAGCATTAAGTGCAAGATCAGTGAATAATGATCTGAAGGGAGGGACTGAAGAAAATTACGAAATGGTCACAGGGCCAGCACATCCTTATTATATAAAAGATTATTTTGGGAGGGTGTACCATGGAACTGAAGGTTAGATCATCATGGACTGAGTTAAAAGTAGGTTCATGAGATCTCCGCCATGTCATATTCCAGAAAGCCTTCTTTATCCTGCTTGGTTTTGTCTTGTTGGATTAGGTCTGATTACGCTAGCTTAATATGCTGCATTTGAAGAATGTGGTACTTCTTTTGGCTTATTTTGGACTTGGTTGAGGCACTATGCTACAACCCGGGAGGTCTCAGGTTCGATTCCCGATGAGGTCATTGGATTTTTCAGTTGACCTAGTCGACCTAGTCCTTCCAGCCGCACTATGGACCTGGGGTCGACTCAGCCTCTAACAGAAATGAGTACCAGGAATCTTCTTGGGGGCACAGAGCGGTCAGCGCGTAAGGTTGATAACCTCACCGCCATCTATGAGTCGACTGCCTAGAAAATGTGGAAGCCTCGATGTCTCACAACCATACACACGGTTACGCTGCACAAAAGATCATTGAAGGTCGCAGTGCTAGGGCCAGTTTTATGGCTCACCCCTTATACTCATACCCCGGAATAAACGCAAATGGCAGTTCCTACAAAATATCTCACTTACACGGTGTATTCAGGATCCGCTAGGAATCATTCTTTTAAATTTTGCCCTGCAATGCCATCTGTTGGCGAGATGTGGCGTTAAGATTCTTGAAGTTTCAACTGTGGCTGTCTATAATTTCAAAGAGCGCTGCATCATGTGTTCTGACCTTGGAT